AAACGCTCGTTTATATCCGAATAAACTAATACTTTGAGCATTGCCATCTCTTTTGAGACCGTGTCTCAATGTGGTTCAATGGTAGATGCCCTAAAAACGCACAATTTATCAAAACTTTTCCTTATTAATGCAGAAATTTGCTCAAAATGGAGAAACTTGGCACGATTACAACGATTCAACACTTGCAAAGTGAAAATGAAGAGTTTTCCAAATCGGTTTTGGAGACAAACTTTCAAAATTGATTAATTTCACAAAAAAAATGAAGAAAAAAGGAGCTTAAACCGAATGAACGCAAAGCTTAAAATGGGTTTTTCGAGTACACAAAGTTACAACAAACAACAAAGCAACGGAATATCGTAATTGATTACGGCATCTGATCCATAGACTTTGAATTTTAATTTGTGGATTGAATTTAGCTGTTAATATTCTACTTTCCGCTATGAGAAAGAGTGAACTTGTACAATACTTGATCACTTCAATGAATGATTTACAAAATTTGGAGAGCTTTTTGGTGAAATTGTGTCGAAAATCCTCATAGAGACAACAAAATGCGAAGCTAAATAGCCTTGAGCTACAGTAAAGTTTAGTTTAGTTGTACTTATCGTACGTTTTCTCTAAGTAGTAGTGCATCCCACCGAGCCGAGTTGATGACTATTTTACGGTTTCCAAGTGCTCACAGACGCTCAGCACTCTAATCCCTCACTAGATCTCATCGTCAGCTACATTTCCCCACCGCACATCGATAGGTTCTGATAAGCGCTTTTCGAGATTTCGAGCAATTTAGGTGCACTACTATTAGGGAAAAGATGGTTTTCCATTTTAATTAGGTTCTAATCTTAAAGAATTTCAAGTGTGTTTTGTGGTAGAAAATGGGAATTCAAATCTTTCTAGTGTAACTTATCTTTTTCTTTTTGAGGTGCCTTTCTTTCTATTTTTCTTCTTGAGTTTTTGCAAGAAAACTGAAGACTTGAGTACGGTAGAAAGGGTGTATTTCTGTTTCAAACACAAAATACACATCAACAGAAGCTAAGTCTGTTGCTAAGCTAGCTATGTTGCTCAGAAGCTAAGCTAGCTATGTTGCTCAGAAGCTAAGCTAGCTATGTTGCTCAGAAGCTAAGCTAGCTATGTTGCTCAGAAGCTAAGCTAGCTTCTGAGTTCGCTAGGTTTGCTAGCTTCTAACCTTGCTTGGCCGGTTTTGGAAGTGGATTACTGGTTGCTGGTTTACTGGTTGCACTTCCACACTTCAAAAATCAAGAATAAAGAAATCAAGAGTTTAGTGAGCCTAGAAAGAGTGTGTTTTCATCTTCTTCAACTCAAAGTACATTCAATAACCAAATGCCATTACAGAATGATCTTTAGCCATCACTCTCTTTTTTATTTGTACTCTTTGGGTGTGAAAAAAAGATGAAAAGTGGCGTATTTACAGAAAAAAAGTCGGAACATTTTCGAGTGTTATTTGGTAGAGAAAAGAACGAGAGACTCACATGAGAAGAAAAAGAAAAGCGATAAGAATAGGGAAGACTGGTTGGAGAAAACACAACGGGCGAAAAGCCAATGTCATCGGCACTTCGCTCACTTTGCTAATCATTTGAGTTCTTCAGATTGATTGAATTGATCTTAAACCTCGCTTTACTTTGATCAAATTTGTTTACTAAATAATTTAATGTTTTTGTTCATAATCATTAGAGTTATGTGCTTTTTAAAAAGTGGAAGCTACTTTAGCTACTTTAGCTAGCTTCCACTACAAGATTACTTTAATCTTTCGATCAAATTACTCATTGAAAACAAACTTAAACTTAAACTTAAAAAAGTATTTGAAAAAAACCCTTTCATTTCATTCCCTAATCTTAAATTGAATTAAGATTTCAAAATTAGCATCTTTCTCTACCGTTTTTTGAAATTGAAATCAATTTTTTTACTCGTTTTCTTTCCTTTTTCTTGCTTGTACTTATCATTTCTTTGGTTAATCCTCTTAACTTTTTAAAGTTTCAAATAAAGCCAGAACTTGATTAATTCAAAAACTAATGCTGTTGTTTGAGAATTTCATTGACTATTTTCATTCGATTTCACTATAAAGTGTTGACAAATTTTATTCGAGCTTTACTCAAAGCTCAATGGGGATTTGACAAAATTTGACAAGCTCAATGGGGATTATTGAATACAATTCTGTGGCGAATTGCCACGTAAAGTTGCTTAAAAAGCTTCAGAATAGGTTTTAAGTTCACTTTGGAGAGAAAAGGAAAAGTGGAATCCTTAAAAAAAAGTGCTCTTTTGAGCTGCGGTAGTTTTCGACGGTAGTTTCTGTTTTCTATTTTGTGCCCCTTAGTTTTCTTGTCTTTCTAAGCCTTTCGGACTCCTTTTTTATTTGTAAAAAGTGTTAAGTTCGAGTTGGTTCTTTGTTTTTGTTTATGAATTTCTTCATTCCTATTGCTTTTGTGTAGGCTGGTAATCAGAAAGATTCTGGATGATCGGGAAGTTAGAATAAATATCGTGTCGTGAGTTGTTGAATAAATTCCATCAGTGAGATCAGATATCTCCAATAAGAAATTACGGTTTTAGTGAAGAGTAGCAGGCACAGAAAAGTGAAATTTCTTACACATTCCTTACTTTGCTTGTACCTACCTGCCAAATTTGTCAATGGTTGCCAATGGAAATTTGATTGGCCAAGAGTTTGCCAAGAATTTGCCAAGCCACAGAGCCTTGAGTCTTCTTTTTAGTTCAATGACTAATCGTTGGCCAAGAATTTGCCAAGCCACAGAGCCTTGAGTCTTCTTTTTAGTTCAATGACTAATCGTTGGCCAAGAGTTTGCCAAGCCGCAGAGCCTCGAGTCTTCTTTTTAGTTCAATGACTAATCGTTGGCCAAGAGTTTGCCAAGCCGCAGAGCCTCGAGTCTTCTTTTTAGTTCAATGACTAATCGTTGGCCAAGAGTTTGCCAAGAGTTTGCCAAGAATTTGCCAAGCCGCAGAGCCTCGAGTCTTCTTTTTAGTCCAACTACTAGAAAACTGATAAATTCAGGGAAAAACTCGTTCACTTTTTCTAAAGTCGTTTGCAAAATTTATCAGTTTTCCTTGCACTGTCTCCTCACTGGCCTCAATAAATTTTAACGATTTTTCGACCAACGGAACGCTGAAGTCGAGATTTTATTGCTCTACTTTGCACACTCACTTATTACTAGGCTTAGATGAAAATCGTTAAGGTTAATAGTATTTAAAAACAAGATTTGCACTCAATTTTGCTATAAACTCGTCCTATCACCGCTTTTCTGTTTACGGTTGTAATTTTGTAATTTTATAAATTAGTTTTTATACTTTAAAATTGTTGAATTGTCTTTTAAAGGTTTATAGCTTGCTTCGTGGAGAGTTTCAGAGCTGTTGCACACATTTTCCCCCACAATAAAACATGATTCAAGTACTGGGAGAAAAGAGGCGTGACTCCAAAGTTGTTACTTTAAACATTTCAACATATTTATCTTATCCGGGAAAAGTCCAAATGAAATCGAGCCTAAAGTTTTCATCATTGTTTCGGATTTGGACCAATTGGATTTGCTTTTGTCTTAAAAATCTTCTCAAAAAAGATCAGTTCTGAAGCTGGAGACTCGTTTGGTTACTAGCTTGCAAAATGCTTGCTTTCAAGGTTAGCTTGCTTCCAAGGTTAGCTTGCTTCCAAGGTTAGCTTCCTTTCAAGGTTAGCTTGCTTTCCAAGTTAGCTTGCTTTCCAGGCTAGCTTGCTTTCCAGGCTAGCTTGCTTTCCAGGCTAGCTTGCTTTCCAGGCTAGCTTGCTTTCAAGGTTAGTTTGCTTTCCAAGTTAGCTTGCTTTCAAGGTTAGCTTCCTTTCAAGGTTAGCTTGCTTTCAAGGTTAGCTTGCTTTCAATGTTAGCTTGCTTTCAAGAGATTCTTTCCAAGGCCCGGACTCATTAAAATATTTACCATTTACCATTTACTTTTACTATTTACTTTGCGCATTTACTCATTTAGGATTTAGCAACTTTGTTAAATGCAAAATGCTAATTTCTTTTGTTTCTTGTAGACTGAATATTCTGATGCAGCCACAAGTTTATGTGCGGAAAATTGGCTAAATTTTGCCTTGTTTCGTAACCAGAATATGTTGGAGTTCGAATCTGTGATTAGTTTTTTGAAATCTTTGTTTAGAGAAGAGCTCTAAGTGTTTTTCGGAGTTGGCCGAACTGCTAAACACCCTGAGGTGTTCAACAATTGGCCCAAGTCTGGCTTTTGACTTGCTTGACTCACAAAAAGCCCAGTTGGAAGATTACTGGATAACAATTTAATCTGACTGGGTTTCTTTCAAGCACTTCATCTGATAAACGCTTGTTTGTATGGCAGAGTTTTCTTAAAAAGCTAAGTTTCTTAAAATTTTAGTAGAAAAAGTGGGCGTGTCCAAGAGATCCTCTTGGCCACACTATCCCTTTCCACCAAAATCCAAATGAAAGGGGCTGGTCCAGTCTTTTCCCCTTTTCTTCTCCCCAAATCCCTTTCCACTTTTTCCATACCAGGATTTCCCCATTCTTTTCCTCTTCGGGATTTCATTGTTCTCGGAACAATCTATATTTTCATAAAATGAGATCAGATTATTCTTTTTGTTTCTTTTTGGTCTTCCATTTTCCTCTCAAATTCCGTTTCTCGTTGTTTTTGATTCTTTGAACTGTTTTGAACAAAATCTTCTAGCTTATCTAGATAATCTTGAAGATTTCTAGATATCTAGATAATTTTGTACTAATCATAAGCTTTTCTGAACTTTTTCTGGTGTGGGTTTCTGGTTTTTCTCGTTTACTTCAGATCTTGTACATGAAACTTAAGAGCTTGAATGTAAAAGTTGAATGTTGACTCGTTTAAAGTATCTACTCATGAACTTGTTTTGAAAGCTCTTGCTCTTGCTTGCTCTTGCTTGCTCTTGCTTGCTCTTGCTTGCTCTTGCTTGCTCTTGCTAGCTCTTGCTTGCTTCTTGCTTCCAAATCTCATCAATCTTTCATGATTTCAGGAAAATGTTGGACACAGCCACCGAGAGCCACCAGTTGCCGTTTGTGGTGATCGCGGTGATTGTCGTTTATTCGATGTTAGCCGTTTTCGGTCTACTGGGCAATATTTGGGTGATGTGGACGGTGCTGTCACAATTGTTGGGATGTGGATCAGGTGGAGTGGATTGGAGTTTAACTCTGGATTGCCTTAGGCTTCTTACAAGGCATAAATAGTTACAACTGTTCAATCAAAAGTCGGTTGCTGGGTTAAATCTACTCATATTACCAAGTTACGATGTTTCGTTAGAATCCAAACATTCAGCTCAAGTTAAAATCAATCAAAAATAGCTAGATTATTCTTTTATCTACTACAAACTGTTATTTATTGGTTGAATTTTTCAGCTTAATCTTGAGCTGATCTTGATTTTGATCTGATCTGGATCTGAGCTTGCTTTTGGTCTTGATCTTGATCTCGAAAGCAAAATTCCCTAGTAAAGTCGAAAGCATGACTGATTGTGAGCTTGGTTCTAGGCCTGAAGAGCTTTGTGACCCAAAAACAGCTTAAAATTTACCCTTATCATTAGCATTTTAACGTACTTCTACTGTAATTTTATTGTTTACTTATTCTACTGTAACTTCTTAAAGTTTATTCAATCTCTAACCAAATATCGTTCCGTTTCAGTTACCCAACAAAAAACTTTCCCCAAACAAACATAGACCACCCATTTCGTTCGGTCATTTTTTCCTTTTTTTGACCTCCAGAATTGTATACATAAAAAAAATTGGGGAATGAAAATTTGTCTTTCTGAAATTCGATCCACCCGTTCCACCATCACTCTGGGAGAAAACACTGGCCCGTTTTTTTTCCTTCATCCATTGCTTTCCCACTATTTGTTTAACACAAAAGTGAGCATCGCATTTGATACAAGGAAATTTGGGGATGGGAAAGATATGGGAAATCCTGAAAAAAGAGGGACAGCCAAAAAGAGGGACAGCCAAAAAGAGGGACAGACAAAAAGAGGGACAGACAAAAAGAGGGACAGACAAAAAGAGGGACAGAAAAGTACGTAACAATTTCATGGTTAAAAGTTAGACGAACTAGGGGATTTCTGGGATAGATGAACTAGGGATTTTGTTTAGACGTGGGAAAGACAGAACTCGCACACTTTTTACCTTTTCAAATAAAATTGTTGTTTAGACAGGGGAAAAAGTGTGCGAGTTCAAAAGTTCAAAAGATTCTTGTAGGGAAAGCAGAGTTTATTTTGTGTTTTCCAAAAACAAAGTAAAAGAAAATCAAATTTTTATCTGACAGACAATCCCTGGAAAGTTCTGGACAAATTTGAACTTAAGAAAAGGTTATATTGTAGCTAAGGAATTTAGAAGATTGTCATAGAATGTCATAGAATTGTGGCACAAGTGCACAAGTTTTGCTTGCTTTGCAGTTTTGCTTGCTTACTACGAATAATAGTAAGCTTTAGTTTTGGATTTAGCATTTTGAATCTTCAAAAGTAAGGTTTCTATTAGGCTACACTGTTTCTATTAGGCTGTAAATCTTCTACGTTTAACTATCAGTTAAGCTGAGCTAACTATCAGTTAAGCTGAGCTAACTATCAGTTAAGCTGAGCTAACTATCAGTTAAGCTGAGCTAACTATCAGTTAAGCTGAGCTAACTATCAGTTAAGCTGAGCTAACTATCAGTTTTAACCACTTATCCTGCCAAGTAGTAGATTCCTTATTTGTCAGTGTTACTTGAAATCTTACTTCAACCCAACAGCTAACTGCCAGCATTGTTGAGTGGTTAGGAGTCGTGTATCCTAGTCGGGAGGTCACGGATTCGATCCCAGCTGCTAGAAAATTCGGCTCCCTAGATCCCTAGATCGGCTCCTTTCCCTAGATACATGGATTTCTTCTCTGCAAACATCTTTAAGGGCATTAGTAGTAGGGGTTGTGTGTTAAGCTGTCTATTTGTTTGTGTCACATTATTCATGTTGAATAGATGTGTACTTTTTAGCTCCGTCTATAAGTTCTATCAGTTCGATTTAACATTCCAAGCTTTCAAGCACTCAAAAACCATAAAACCAAGTCAAATTTCAGGTGGTCGCCCGCACAAACCTCCGCTCCAATCCTCAGCTTTCATCTATTTATTGTTATTATCTGTTGTTGATTCGATTTCCTTTCTGCCAATTCCTTTACTTGTCACCGATCTCATTATGAATCAATGGCCATTCGGGTTGCCTATTTGCAAGTTGTTCCTTATTTGTGAGGGTTTTAACAAAACCCTCTCGCCGATGGTGCTCACCGCGCTCAGCATTGACCGATACATTGCCGTTTGTAAGGTGGGTGTTGAGTTGGGCTCTTTTCTGGGTTGGGACTGGGAATGGTCGGCACCGGGAGCTCTCGCTTACCACGCGAACGCACTACCAATCAGCTACACCGACACGTGTTTCATTGCCACCAGGATAGGGCTTTATGCCTTATTGTTAGCATTTTAAAGTTTGATTTCAGTGCTGATAGCTGATTTATGTGTACTTTGTGTTCAGAGAAGCGTATTTCATCTGGCACTTGAGTATGCGTTTTCTAGTCCACAAAATACCGACCAATAGGTTAATCTTAAAAACTTAAAAACCGGAACTTACTAGGCACAGTCATTTGCAAAATTTTCGTCAAAACAATTGAATAGACGACTTTTTTTTTGAGAAATAACCAGGTGCTTTTCGCAAAAAAACCTCAAAAATGACCTTTCCTCTCTAATTTTTGAGAAGCCAAAAACAAAAATGAAAGCAGAAACATATGTGGATTTCAGAAGCAACCTGTTTCTGGGAGGCCCAGGGATTATTGTCAATCAGCTACGAAAGCGAAAGCCGGCTAGACCAAGTTCTGGCTTCTTGCCTAACCCTAGTTTAATCCAGGAAAAATCTTCAATAACCAAAGAAATAGATATTCGATCAGCACTTGTAGAGAAAGCTAAGAAACTAGGATAAGCAAAGCTAGCATCGCAAATCTAGCATCGCAAAGCTAGCATTGCAAAGCTATCATTGCAAAGCTATCATTGCAAAGCTATCATTGCAAAGCTAGCATCACAAAGCTAGCATCGCAAATCTAGCATCACAAAGCTAGCATCGCAAATCTAGCATCGCAAATCTAGCATCACAAAGCTAGCATCACAAAGCTAGCATCACAAAGCTAGCATCACAAAGCTAGCATCACAAAGCTAGCATCACAAAGCTAGCATCACAAAGCTAGCATCGCAAATCTAGCATCGCAAATCTAGCATCACAAAGCTAGCATCACAAAGCTAGCATCACAAAGCTAGCATCGCAAATCTAGCAGCTAGATCTAGCAAAATTTACTCGTTTTCCCCAAAATTCGCAATTTAGGAGGAATAACTTCTTTCAAATTTCAAATTTTTGCGAGCTGCTTGTTTTTTTCGAAACGAGAACTCTGCACAGATAAAAACGATTTTAATTAGATAATAGATCGGCCAGAAAAGCTAGATCAAACGACTAAAATGCTAGACGAGTAGAATGCTAGATTGAGCAAAAGGATCCAGGCTGGGTCCAGGATCGGTGTGAAAATCAGACCCAGTCCACATTGAAAGAGAAGCTCAAATGGTATCAGGAAAACTTTAGCTTTCGCAAACTATCGAAAAGCGCTTCAAGCTTCCATTTTCATTGCTCATTTCAACCAATTTTCAGCCAACGTTGGTTTGGATGCGACAGACGCAATTCTCCCTCCTCGTCGTGCTGATTTGTGTGCTTTTGTCGATGACTTTCATCGTTCCAATCGGATTTCATGCTGAGGTTTCGTTTCTTTTTTAAATGAAGATAGAGAAGAGAGAGAAGAGAGAGAAGAACGAATTCTTTTTTTTGAAAGATTGAAAATTCTTTGTTGAAATAATGAAAATTCTTTTTTTGAAAGAATCAAAATTCTTTTTTTAATGAATTTCTCATCCTTTTACATTCTATCTCTTTTCTCTTTATTCTCTACTTTTTTTCGTTAAAAATGTTTCTATTTGATTCAATTTAAAGCGATTAATAGAGAGGCAAAGAAAAACGACAAAAATCCATTCAAAAATCGTCGACAAATTCGGTTTCCCGGAAATCTAATCAAAAATTGGGAACACTGCTGTGAAAATGGCGATCTTTTAAACGAATCAGCAAATTTAATTCGCGCGCAATAAATTTAATTCCAATTTTAGATTGGAAACTTTTAAAAGAGGGTAATTTTGGATTGAAATCCTTTGAGAATATTGATTAAAACTGAATTTTAAACAATTCACCAGAAAATAGACTTTGCTATTTTGGAGTGCTTGCGTTAAAACGGCAATGAATTTTTGGCAAACTGACAATTTGTCAAGTTTTAATAACGGGATAACAGTATGACAATGAGATCTAGAAGATCTAGAAGATCTAGATGGTCTAGAAGATCTAGAAGATCTAGAAGATCTAGAAGATCCAGATGGTCTAGAAGATCTAGATGGTCTAGAAGATCTAGATGGTCTAGAAGATCTAGAAGATCTAGAAGATCTAGAAGATCTAGAAGATCTAGAAGATCTAGAAGATCCAGATGGTCTAGAAGATCTAGATGGTCTAGAAGATCTAGATGGTCTAGAAGATCTAGATGGTCTAGAAGATCTAGAAGCTCTAGAAGATCTAGATGGTCTAGAAGATCTAGATGGTCTAGAAGATCTAGATGGTCTAGAAGATCTAGAAGATCTAGAAGATCTAGAAGATCTAGAAGATCCAGATGGTCTAGAAGATCTAGAAGATCTAGAAGATCCAGATGGTCTAGAAGATCTAGATGGTCTAGAAGATCTAGATGGTCTAGAAGATCTAGATGGTCTAGAAGATCTAGAAGCTCTAGAAGATCTAGATGGTCTAGAAGATCTAGATGGTCTAGAAGATCTAGATGGTCTAGAAGATCTAGATGGTCTAGAAGATCTAGATGGTCTAGAAGATCTAGAAGCTCTAGAAGATCTAGATGGTCTAGAAGATCTAGATGGTCTAGAAGATCTAGATGGTCTAGAAGATCTAGAAGATCTAGAAGATCTAGAAGATCTAGAAGATCCAGATGGTCTAGAAGATCTAGAAGATCTAGAAGATCCAGATGGTCTAGAAGATCTAGATGGTCTAGAAGATCTAGATGGTCTAGAAGATCTAGATGGTCTAGAAGATCTAGAAGCTCTAGAAGATCTAGATGGTCTAGAAGATCTAGATGGTCTAGAAGATCTAGATGGTCTAGAAGATCTAGAAGATCTAGAAGATCTAGAAGATCTAGAAGATCCAGATGGTCTAGAAGATCTAGATGGTCTAGAAGATCTAGATGGTCTAGAAGATCTAGATGGTCTAGAAGATCTAGAAGATCTAGAAGATCTAGAAGATCTAGAAGATCTAGATGGTCTAGAAGATCTAGATGGTCTAGAAGATCTAGATGGTCTAGAAGATCTAGAAGATCTAGAAGCTCTAGAAGCTCTAGAAGCTCTAGAAGCTCTAGAAGATCTAGAAGCTCTAGAAGCTCTAGAAGTTTGATTCGCATCTTTAGAGCCAAAAACTTTTCTAAAATCCTTAGCAATAAGCAATTATTGATATCACTTACAGTTTATGGATCTCAAATTGAATCTTTCTAATATCTAAGTCTATGACTGAGACAAGAATCTTTTTATCCTTGTTCTTGACTGTTCTTGTTCTTGTTCTTGCTCTTGTTCTGTTTCCTTGTCTTCTTGTTACCTTGTCTTTATAAAAAGCTCTATATCTAACGATAAGCCAGAATATTTTCATTGAACATCCCAATATTTTGACTATTCACAAAGCAGTCGAACAGCTGCGTAAACGGAAGGGATTTTGCGAGAAAATTCCTTCAAAAGTGCCACATTTTTGAACGAATTCAACGATTCAACAAAGGGTTAAGAAAACGAAAATCAAATTCCAGGTCGCAGAGATGCGTTTCGCTCCGGATGTGTTCGTCAATAAATGCGTGTTGATCCTCGAAACACAGGGTGTTTTCAATTTGGCTCAAGTGGGTTTTTAGCTTTTTGTTTCTCAAACTGGGAGTAAGAATGTTTTAAAGAAAATTTTTCTGCTGAAGAACCTGGTCAACGCCAAGACAAGCCAAAGTTCGGGCGGCTAGATCCGACTAGACTAGGCGAGAATCGTCCCAACGACTAGATTTGCAAACGATAGAGGATCTGAAGAGCCTACAAACTGCAAACGTAAACTATAAACGCTTCTAACCCGCTTTATAACTGCCAGATTAACATGATCTATAGCTCAAAAGATAGAGGATCTGAAGAGCTTTCGAATGAACTAAAGTACACCTAAAACTATCAATGCTAAAGAAAGCTACAGTGCTTTGTAGACAATCGCTTCGACTACGGTTTGTTTCGACTACAAACCACTGTAGCTTTCTTTAGCGTTGATAGTTTTGGGTGGGCTTTACTCCATTCGAAAGCTCTTGAGATCCTCTATCTTTTAAGCTATAGATCATGTCAATCTGGCAGTTATAAAGCGGGTTAGAAGCGTTTGTAGTGTCACAGTCAGTTTCTAGTTTATAGTGCCTATTTCTACTAAGGATAGGCTAAATCTAGAGGTTAAACTAGGGTTAAACCCATGCTCAGACTAGGCTAATTTTATCAGACAACGCGACAATGAAAAATCTAGAATCTAGGCTGTGACATTTGCGTGACATTTTTGACTAATAGTAAGCCTGGTTTTGAGTCGGTACTTTGGCACTGCACTGTCAGTGCTAGCGTTGCATTTAGGCCTAAGTTAGGTCATGCTTAAACCAGGCTGGGCAAGAGCTGGGCTAAGAATAGGTCAGCTCTAGGCCAGGATTAAGCCCTCAATTGGTTCTTGGGTCAGTTTTGTACATCCCTGACCAGGGAACCATACAAAATGTGTTAATAGTTCAAGTTGAGCTTTAGTTCAATGATATTCTCATACAGACGTTACTGGTCTAAAATTGAATACACTAAAATGATATTCTTTAGGCGATCGCCTGCTATGTGATTCCTCTTCTCCTCATCTGTTCAGTCTACACGGCAATTCTTAATAAGGTAAACGAGGGGAAATCGGTTTTTCTTTCCGCGAAGCCTATGAATTTACGCGTTTACTCAATTTCTTTCAAACTTTTGTTTTCATAGAAAAGAATTCTTTAATAAATTTGCAAGAGATAAGAGAGTCATCACCTTGTTCTGCGAAAACGTTTGTTTTTCCCGCGTTTTCTATTGTCTTTCTATAAATGGGGGGTTTTGTTTTATTAAGTTCAAGCGTAGTTCTCCGGCAGAAATGAAGTGGGTGGTCGATGAAAGGAAATTTTACTAACAAATATGTTAGTAAAATGATAAGTTTTGATAAGAGGAAAGGTTTGGAGTTTCTGTAACGCTTGGGAAAGCTAAAAAGGAAAGCTAAAAAGGAAAGCTAAAAAGCAAAGCTAAAAAGGAAAGCTAAAAAGCAAAGCTAAAAAGGAAAGTTAAAAAGGAAAGCTAATAAGGAAAGCTAAAAAGCAAAGCTAAAAGGGAAAGCTAAAAAGGAAAGCTAAAAAGGAAAGTTAAAAGGAAAGCTAATAAGGAAAGCTAAAAGGGAAAGCTAAAAAGGAAAGCTAAAAAGCTAGTTCGCTTAAAAAGTTGATGACAAGCTAGCGATTTTTCACAAGCAATACTTGCTACCGATAGAATATCAATATATCCAGAGGATTTTGTAGAACAGTAGAATAGTGTAAAGTCAGCTTACATGGTTCTGAAGACCTATTTTCTTCCTTCTTTCTTTCCTTCTTTCTTTCCTTCTTCCTTCTTTCTTTCTTTCTTTCCTTCCGTCTTTCTTTCTTTCTTTCTTTCCTTCTTTCTCTCCTTCTTCCTTCTTGTCTCTCCCTCTTTCTCTTGGCAAATTAAGGCACCAGACAGCTCAGCGTTTAGAGCATTAGAGCTCAGAAAGCAGAAGGTAAGGGTTCAATCCCCTCTTCAGAAATCTACTTTTCTATCAATTCCTTCACTGCTTTTCCGTTAATCACAGCTTCACCGTCAATCAGAGCTTCATTAGGAAGCTTCTGAAATCTAGAGTCAAATCTAGAGTCAAAGTTAAGGTCAAAAGTTATCATCATCAAACAATATTCAAATTTTCAGCTCTATCGCCACACTCGAATCTCATCAGTCGGAAGAAAAACGTCAATCTCGTTGTCACGAGTCGTGAAGTGCTCGGTGCTCGTTGTGGCCTTTTATTTCATCTGTTGGACTCCGTATTTCACCATGCAACTTCACCATTCCCTTTCCGGAGGAGGTGAGTGTAATGTTAAAATTTTGAAGAAGTTCTGTGATCTCATTCTTTTGAAATTCACTACAAGAATTTATAATATGGTCGCCTATGAACAATGTAGCTAGGTGCCAAGTTTCTAAACTTAATAAAACTTCAAAAACGAACTTCCTGGGGTTCTTGATCTCTCCCGATCTTCTTGATCTCTCTCGATCCATAATTCAACAAATCCCATCCATAATACGCCCAAAGTCCACCATAGAATCCCATGATCAAATCGCCCAATCGATAATTTGATCCCTTCATTTGATCCCATCATTTGATCCCTTCGGATCCTGTAGCTTTTCATTCCAGCCTGAACTTCGCTACGTGGCTAAAAAACTTGGCTACGTGGCTAAAAAACTTGGCTACTTAGCTAAAAAAGACAAGTAATCAAAGTATTATAATCTCGGTAAACCCTCACCTTTCCAAAACCAATAGTACATCCTTTTTAGGATGATTTTAGGATGCGATGATCAGCAAACAACTAGCGAGCTTGGCAAAAGTGGCAAAGATTTTAAAAAATTAAACTTTAAATGTTAAACTCTAACGAATTATAAGTTTTCAAAAGCTTATAGTCAGTTGGACAAGCGGTAAAATGCCTATTGCCTTCAGCAATTGCCTAAGATGCCTAAGATGCCTAAGAAATTCGAATAAAGATTCAAATTCTCACGATTTTTAAGTAAATAATCAACTGGTCAGCTCTCATCTATTTCCAGAAACCTCCACTTATCTCAAAATACTCAAATTGAGACGCAATGGTTGAGTCATTTCATTTCCCTCCCACGGAACCCCTCGAAAAAAACGCGAGCCACTATTGGACTCACGTGGGGATTCCCTGATTCCCTAAAAAGGACGAAAAAATATATGTGAGCTCTATGGGGTAAAAGAATAGTAAAAGAATAGTAAAAGATGAGAGCTTTCTCGTGGAATTTGACACCGATTCTCTCTTTGATTCTTTCGATTTTTGAAAGGAAAAAGGGGCGACTTCTGATACGGAATCCGGGCTATTTTTGTGGAGAAGTGTGGAAGTAGATTTGGGCCAAAAAACTGGGGGAGTTCCAAGAAGTGTTGAAGAAAAAATGATGCGCTTTTCAGATATAATAACTTTTACAGTTACAGTCAAGTATAGAATGCTTTAATCTTTTGATTAAACTAGTTTTTACAGTTATTTAAGAGCATTTTCCAATGGGGAATTTGGAAGATTTTGTCAGAGATAGTCATTTGATTTTGATTAGAGTAAATTTTATATTGATTAGAGCTTGCTGTATAAATTTTCTACTTATTTTTAGTAGTATAAGCTATAGCTATCTTTTGAGCTATAGATCATGTCAATCTGGCAGATTTGAAGCAAGTTAGAAGCAGACTCGATTGCTTTGATTACAAACACGGTCCATCAAACTACAAACCATTGTTAACTTTCTTTAGAGTTAATATTTTGGGCGTGCTTTGTTCCATGCGAAAGCTCTTGAGTTCCTCTATTTTTTGAGCTATAGATCATGTCAATCCGGCAGATTTGAAGCAAGTTAGAGGCAGACTCGATGGCTTTGACGACAAACACGGTCCATCAAACTACAAACCACTGTAGCTTTTTTCAGCATTGACAGCTTTAGCTCTACTTTACTCCATTTCGAAAGCTCTTTAGATCCTCTATCTTTTGAGCTATAGCTCATGCCAATCCAGCAGATTTGAGGCAAGTTAGAAGCGTTTGTAGTGTGACAATTCGTTCGCTTCATTTTGTTAGTCTTTTTTTTGTAGAGAAACGGAAAACTAGACTTGGAACTTGGAAAAATGATCTGAGAAAGTGAAAAGAAGTTGATGGGAAGGAAAATGACGAGCTTGTTAAACATTTGGTCTTTTTACAGTAAGCATAAATCTGTTTGATTCGATTGAAATGGCGCAAAATGAAAAATTCACGGCAAACTCGGCTAGCTAACTAACAAAATAAGCAAACTAACTAACAAACTAACTAAGAAACTAACTAACAAACTAACTAACAAACTAACTAACAAACTAACTAAGAAACTAACTAACAAGCTAACTAACAAACTAACTAACAAACTAACTAACAAACTAACTAACAAACTAACTAACAAACTAACTAACAAACTAACTAACAAACTAACTAACAAACTAACTAACAAACTAACTAACAAACTAACTAAGAAACTAACTAACAAGCTAACTAACAAACTAACTAAGAAACTAACTAACAAACTAACTAACAAACTAACTAACAAACTAACAATAAGCATTCACTTCTTTAAGTTCTTTTCAAACCCAAGACTTTCTTTTAAATTTCTATCGTTTCAAAATTGAAACCCGAATTGTTTGAATCGTTTTAAAATTGAATTTCTGATCTCAATTGCTGATCAATTGCTGATCAATTACTTGAGAAAGTCTCTCAAGAATCCTTTTTAGACTCATTCTTTTAGCCTCAAAAAAATCTCTCATTTGAGACCTATTTTTGGAGCCTTGAACCGAAAAATTCTAAAATCTCTTCGTTGAGAAGTTCCTGGTAAAGAAAAGCCTTGAAAAAAAGAGTTCTACTTTGTTTCCCTCACTTATTGGGTACTCAAACAAGGTTTTTCCATGGGAAACAGTCTTTTTTTGGTCTTGGTACTTCAGTTTTCTAAGCTTTTGAGTTCTCATTGGCCATCTACGTAACTGTTGGGATTTTAGGAAAGTCTGTAAAAAAGAAAAAAGGATACACGGTGTCTCACAATTACGGTAACCAGTTTTTGAGAAAACTATTCTTTTCCAAAAGACTTTCTACAGAAATTAGCATGTACTATATACCATTTGAAAGCTCTAATACTCAGGATCATTAATACATTAAAGATTTGTTGGCTAGAGCTTATTTCTGACCCTTACTGCCCTTCGGAATGAGCTCGCCGGCGTTCCTATTCCTCTGCAAGCGCTACAAGCACGGTGATCTGCGATTTTACAAAGTCTACATAGGCACAGATACAAAATGCAACCCCTACAGTTCTAAGCTTTGCTTGGAAAATGATTCCATCAAATATCTGGTGACTTTGAATGAATGAATTCTTAGTGAATTGAAATTGGAATTGAATTTCACTTAACACATCCACGAAAAAGCTATTTTTCTTTTTTGGCTGCGGTTTCGGAGAATTATCTATGTTAGCTGTAGAGCTGAAAATTTGTAATTGAAGGCATTCTGGGATAGAGAATCTGAATCCGTTATTAGTTTTTGAGCAACTTTAATTTAAGTACTTTAACTTTAAGGAAGCAAGCAAGCCAAGGTCATCACATTTCAAGGCCAATTTTCAAGATCAGCAAAACAAAACTCTCTGAAAACTCGGGGTAAAATCAAATTGGTGAAAAAAGAGCGAAACGGAAGCGAGATTTGGGCTTTTTCCTATGTTTTTTCCTAGTTTTCAATTCACCAACCTAATACAAGAATTCTACCGAAATCCATCTAAATGTTATCGAACTTTCTTCCTAAATCCGAGCCTCAATTTCAACTTTAATATAAAATGAGTACCAAGGAGTGCATTTATCTTCCCTTCAAATCTACGCCCACCTCCAAAACCGTGCTAAATTCCCCTGATTTTTGTCCTCCAGCACTTGAGACCTATCCTCTTTTCTCCCCTCTTCAGCCCACGTAACTAAGGACTCGTTTCCCATCTAAAGAACCCCATCAAAAGGATCGTTTTCGAGCGCTTTTCTTCGTCCTCATCCCCGTCTAACACCATCAATTATTCAAAAACCCTTCTCAACTACAGAAAACGAAAGTTTTTTGTCGTGAATAGAATTGGGGAACAACAACTCCTTTCCACTTTCGCCTATCACCCACACACAAAAGCTTCATCACCAAAAATAATGAGGCTGTGAAATTTGAGCCATAGCACAAGAAAGCCATTCTTTTTTTCTGTGCTTTTACTGCGATAATAATTGAAAATTGTAATAAACAACTTTTGGGCTTTGTAGTAGGGATTTTTGACAAAAAAAAACACGTATTTTCAAAATTTTCAATTTTCTTAAAATGCCTTTTCCCCACAATGATTACAATATTTTCTCGGCAACAATCCCACATTTACTCAAATTTTTGTGTTGTAAACAGTACCTGATTTGTTCATTTTGAGTTGGAAAAGTGAAAAGTGAGTACGGTAATTTGAACCGGTAAAGTTCGGTAATTGGAACCGGTAAAGTTCGGTAGTTGGAACCGGTAAAGTTCGGTAATTTGAACCGGTAAAGTTCGGTAGGAACCAGTAAAGTTTGGTAGTTGGAACCAGTAAAGTTCGGTAATTGGAACCGGTAAAGTTCGGTAATTGGAACCGGTAAAGTTCGGTAATTTGAACCGATAAAGTTCGGTAATTTGAACCAGTAAAGTTCGGTAATTTGAACCGAAAATCCATGCGTTCTACGCAATTTTCGGCTATAATTGATCGATTTTTACAAGAAAATAAACAAAATAAACGAAATAAGACATAGAAATATCAGTTTTAAGTTTAAGAATAGAAGGAAGAGCCAGAAAAGAAGCAAGAAATGAAAATGCGAATCAATCAAGATAGGCAAGATGGTCTGAGTCTCTCTTTCAAACTTTTGACTAATTAAAACAGAATTCCTCTGTAGAACAGTTACGTAGATGGCCAATGAGAACTCAAAAGCTTAGAAAACTGAAGTACCAAGACCAGTAGACTCAATAAAATGGATGGTTCCAATCGATTGCCCGATCCTAAAAACCCCTAGGGAATAATTTACAGCTGAATATCTTCTTTCGTGCAATCTAGAAAGCAAAAGAAGAAGCTATGTAAATAACTGTCGAGGTGTTCTGTGGGCGGCCATGTAATCGCTCACCGTCTGGCAGATACCTCTAGTATGGGGTGCTTCGCTTTTGAAATTCGTAATCCATCCGTAATCCATCCGCAATCCATCCGCAATCGTCTAATTTAAATCCCTGCTTTATTATGCTCAAATTCTTGGTTTTAATGAGAATCGCTCCTAATTTGGTCCTAATCTTCCTGCTATCCTTTCGGAATCATAAGAGCGAGCGAGCGATCAACGACAGACCCGTCTTTCTTGTTTTCATGGCGTCACTATGCTCAAATTTTTGCCTGCCTGCATGCCTCAATTTGGCTGTACTTTTGCTAGAAATTCTAAATCCCGTTCCATTCCAAATCAAATCAAATCCAAAACCAAGATACGAATAGTAAGCCTGGACATCCAACTCAAACAAAAACAAACCAAAGTAATAAAGCTTAGCAAAAACTAATAGTAAGTCTTCCATTTTAGACCCAGAAGAAGATGTGCCGATGCGGAACGGGACTGAAAAGGTGCATCCGATGCGGAACGAGACTAAAGAGGTGCATCCAATGCGGAACGAGACTGACTACAAGACGGGACAACAATCGGGGAGTTTGGATCCAAATACGGCGATCTTTCTCCAGTACATGCTTCACGCTCTCCCGTACACGCAAAGTGCCTTCAACTGGGTTTTCTATGCTTTCTTGAATAGGTAATATAAAGAATTGAGTGGTTTGTCTAGAGAATGGCTCGACTACCGTAATCTTTCCTCGAGATATCTATTCGAGATTTTTTCAGAAACCTCCGAAATTCGAATCAAAGAGCGAATGGTGTTCGATCGACAGCGAGCACTTTTGTCGCAGATGGGATCAGCAACGGGAGCGGTAATGGGGCGCCGATTTGGAAAAATATCCAACAAGTGGGTTGAAGAAAACTAGTACTATTAGATAATTAGATATCTATAATTAGATCTTTTATTACATCACTTTATTTTCGATGTTATGTTCTATGTTCTTTCTGACACACTTGGCTCCTTTGGACGCTCGTTTTTGTGAGCTTTTTGTGAGCTAGTGTGCCGGAAAGTGTTTGTCAGAGCACAAAGCTCAAGCCCGAGTTTTTAGCTTAGGCTTAGGCTCAGGCTCAGGCAAATTACTAGTAATTTTAGATTTACTCTTTACTTTTAGGCTTACTATTACTATTAGCTACTATTTTAACAACTCCTAAATATGGCTTACTATTACTATTAGCTACTGTATTAACAACTCCTAAATATCCAATTCAGATGGGCAGCACGTTGAAAGCAGCCGGACTTGACACGGGTCATCTTCTCCTCCGAAACTCTCCTTTCCGGAGTCGATCGAAAAAACACTATCGGTTCGTTTGGATCTTTGAAATCTTTGAGTTTGGATTTCATTAATGAAATAGAGCATTGTCACCTTGCATGGGAATCTGTTTACTTAGTCGAGTTTGATCGAGAAAAACGGGGAAGGGAGGATTCAAAATGAAACTCGCGAGAATGATTTTGGGTGTTTGGCTTTAAAAGAAAGCGGGTGATACTAGGGATTTCGAATTTAAGCTTTTTGATAGAGATAATTAGAAGTTTTCATCAGAAGTAGAAGTTTAGGCATCCAAGAACTAGTCCTTTACTAGGAATTGGATCTGGGCTAATTCTAAAAGCCAAAGGGCAATGGATCAAGCTAAATCTTGGTTTTAGCAAGCCAATCCAAAGCTTGTCGGCCTCAAAAACTCTAGAAAAAGCCAAAGTTCACAGGAAAATTTCTTCTCAATTTATTTTAAACAGTTTTAAACAGTTTTAAACAGCTTTTAAACAGTTTTAAACAGCTTTTAAACAGTTTTAAACAGCTTTTAAACAGTTTTAAACAACTTTAAACAGCTTTTAAACAGCTTTAAACAGTTTTAAACAACTTTAAACAGCTTTTAAACAGCTTTAAACAGTTTTAAACAGTTTTAAACAGCTTTTAAACAGTTTTAAACAGTTTTAAACAGCTCTTTTCGCTCTTGTCGTTGAAGTTTTTCTGCAAAAACAGCGTTCGTTCTTTGTGGATATCTCCTTTCAAAGAAATTCAAACACACGGACTTTTTCGTGGAATTTCTGAGTTCTGGGTGTTTAATTTTTAAACAAGGAACTAGGGGGAAGAGATGTAAACAGTGGAATGAGTAATTGGCTCAATTGTTGGCGAAAAGGTGTAGGCAACCTTGGGAACCTTGAGAACAAAGTTGGGTAATTGAACGAAAACCATCATTTCCCTAGTAAAACTCTTCTTTCAGCAGTTCAACATGTTTGGAGAAACCATCAACGCTTTTGGTGACATCGATTGGAATGGAGAGATCATCGATGTTGGAGTTGTCGATGGAAAGAGAAGCACTCAGTCTTCCCGACTCTCCACCGAGAAGCAACAGCGCTGCCGCGTCGATTCCGCACAATTCCCTTCACAATGAAGCGTCGGCCACTTCCTCTGTGGAATGGCTATGAATAGTTGTGGTTTAAATTTGACAGGAGATAGTTGTGGTTTAAAGTTTGAAGCTTTTACTCTCACTCAGAGTTGAGACTTGGCCTGTAAAAGGTTGTGATTTTGCAATTAAGGCTAGAAGACTGGCAGGATTCGCAAAGCTGCAAGTCTACAGGGTGTTCAACAATTACGGGGACTACTTTTCAGCAAAACCTTTGATACCGAGAAAACTTTCCATAGAAAGTAGAATGTATTATATACCATTCGAAAGCGCTAATTCTCGGCGTCATTAATCTACTAAAGATTTTTTGTTCAAAGTTAGTTTTTAGCTTTTAAGGCGCTTTGGACTTGCGCCAAGTTTTTGCCAAGTACCCCGAGGCACGCTGCTATTTTTCGTGGTTTTAAACTCCTGTACTGTACTATTCACTAAACATGGATTTTTGAGTGGCAAAGCTGATCGATTCAAACGCAAATCCGGTTATTGGTCGTTTAGCCAAAACTATAGCTGACCAACTGATCATTGCTAACTTAACAGACTTAAGAGACTTAAGAGACTTAACAGATGCTAACTTCAGGAGAAAAACCAAGGAAATTTGTAAACTTAACAACTTAACAACAACTTAGCAACAACTTAGCAACAACTTTAAACTTCAAACTAACTTTTCCTAAATTAGCAGTAAACTAAACTAAACGCAAGTAAACTAAATTAACAGTAAACTTAAAAACTTCAAACTTTCCCCATAACTATAGGGTGACCAAGAAATAGCGAAAAGAATTACCGCAACAAATACTACAGGGTAACCAAGAATTAGCGCAAAGTGGCCAAATGAAATGGCCAAATGATTCGCCGGAGAGATGTCGACTAGCGCTCATTCAAGCGCTTGTTAAATGAGTTGTATAAGTCCAATTGGAATGTTTTTGGTAGATAAATGTAGCCAAGATTAAGAGCTACAATTCCCTATATAACACTTGATACTTTGAAATACATAAAGCGTGCGAGAACTACTTTTCCAAAACATAACAACGATGGATAGGGATCGACTAGTGCTCATTGAAGAGCTCATAAAAAGCCTACAATTCTCTGTATAACACTTGCCACTTTTGAAATAAATTAGACATTTCCCAGATACTCTTCCAAACCTTCCCAGATACTCTTCCAGTTGTTGCGGTAATTTTTGATCACCCTGTATTCCTGTGCAATACCTTTTGATGCATTTGTGAAGCATCTCATAGCTTTCATTCTCCATTTTGTGCTTTCACAAACACACACCACTTGGCACACCTGGTTCACTCTATAAAACAGTTTTGGTTTTCTCTAGTTGCCAATTTGTCAAATCGATGCCAATTTGTTGAAGTTGAGTTGAAGTTGAGTTGCAGTGCGTACAATTTGTTGAAGCACAAAGTATGAGTGCTTTTCTAGGAATGCTAAACATTTACCCGGTGTTATCTCTGTGTACTATTTTATATTATAATTTCTGTGTACTATATTATGGGTCATTTTGTTGAAAATCTTCAATTTTTATCATTTTTTTGTCATTTCCCACTATTTGTCATTTCCTTTCTCACTTTTTACATCACTTTTCCCAGATTTGCCCTTTATTTTACGAGAAATAAACAAGAAAATTGCCAAATTCCCATTCGATTTTCAAATGATCTCCGATTTTCTTTTTTCAGTTGGGTTATTTTTGAGTTCTCTATTTTCTTTTTGATGTTTATTATATTTTTGTCATGAATAAATAAGAGAAAAATAGCAAAATTGAAAGCAAAAAAACTTTTACAAATGGATAAGCTGGGCAATTGAACTAGCAACTTTGAGCTTTGAAGCTCCAACTTTGAGTAGCCGTCAAAAAGAAGTGACATTGAAAGTGACGTCACTTTTGGCAGTGAAAGTGGCGTCACTTTTGACAGTGAAGTGACGTCACTTTTGACAGTGAAAGTGACGTCACTTTTGACAGTGAAAGTGACGTCACTTCTGACAGTGAAAGTGACGTCACTTTTGACAGTGAAGTGACGTCACTTCTGACAGTGAAAGTGACGTCACTTTTGACAGTGAAAGTGACGTCACTTCTGACATTGAAAGTGACGTCACTTCTGACAGTGAAGTGACGTCACTTTTGACAGCGAAGTGACGTCACTTTTGACAGTGAAAGTGACGTCACTTTTGACAGCGAAAGTGACGTCACTTTTGACAGCGAAAGTGACGTCACTTTTGACAGTGAAGTGACGTCACTTTTGACAGTGAAGTGACGTCACTTCTGACAGTGAAAGTGACGTCACTTTTGACAGTGAAAGTGACGTCATTTTTTGAAGTTTAAAACGAATTTTTAGAAATTCTCTACATTTTGCCGGGTTTTGTCGTCATCGCAAAGATTGACGTCTTTGAATTTATTCTCAATGCGATTTTTTGCGATCTTGCTGAGTACAAATGAGTTGTTGCTCGTAAAAAAACACAAAAACTGAGTCAAGAGACGTTTTGCTTGCTTTTTGACAAAAGAAAATGCGGATTTGTTTCACTTTACTAACGATATTTCTTCTGCAATTTTCCCGGGCACAAAGCTGTGGGTTTTCTGTAAAAATGAGCAATTTTAGAGGAATTCTAGAGAAATATTCACCGGATACTTACCAAACATTTTATTTAGCTTTCTTGTAATGAAAAATGTCAAGCTTTTAAAGTTTTGAGGTTTATTTTGGAATCTCTCACAAATTAAGCAAGGTTTTTCTCAAAAAGCAAGGTCAAAAATCAAAAAACGATAGGTTCCACCGAGATTCGAACTCGGGTCGCAGGATTCAAAGTCCTGAGTGCTAACCGCTACACCATGGAACCGTGATTTCGGGTCTCTTTCCTTCCCTTTTAACAGGCTAATGATTCCTTTAAGTCAATGATTTTAAGTCAATGAGTCAATGATTATCAAATGAACTAATGAATCCCAAAATTTACTCATCTCATCACACAATTCAATAATTTAAAATAAGAATTCACATAGCTTCAATCGCTTCAATTTGCGATTGAAGCAAATTGAAGATTTTGCTTTCCAAATTTGTAGACAGAAGGCACCAAATCTGTAGGGAAAAGGAACCAATCTGTATAGAAAAGGAACCAATTCTGGAACGAAAAGGAATCAAATCTGTAGAGAAAAGGAATAAAATCTGTGGAGAAAAGGAAACAAATCTGTGGGGAAAAGGAACCAAATCTGTAGAGAAAAGGAAACAAATCTGTAGAGAAAAGGAACCAATCTGTATAGAAAAGGAACCAAATTTGTAGACAGAAGGCACCAAATCTGTGGGGAAAAGGAACCAAATCTGTAGAGAAAAGGAATCAAATCTGTTTTTTAGAGAAAAGTAACCAAATCTGTAGAGAAAAGGAATAAAATCTGTTTTTTAGAGAAAAGGAACCAAATCTGTAGAGAAAAGGAATAAAATCTGTAGAGAAAAGGAACCAATCTGTATAGAAAAGGAACCAAATCTGTTTTTTAGAGAAAAGGAACCAAATCTGTAGAGAAAAGGAACCAATTCTGGAACGAAAAGGAACCAGATCTGTAGAGAAAAGGAAACAAATCTGTAGAGAAAAGGAACCAATTCTGTAAAACTAGTCACTAATGATCTGTGATTGAATTTCTCAAAAAAAGCCAAAACTCTACACCATGGAACCACGATTATCGGGAGGGAAAAGAAGCACATAATGCTGAAAGATTCATCAATGACAGATTGTTCCTTGAATTGTTTCTCTTGCGAATTCTGGTCTTTTTTTTGCACAAAAAGGAAGGAAAGGCTGGAATAATGGATTTGCAAAGCTGACAACAAGGAAATAACGCTAAATTTTTAATTCTATACAATCTAGAAACTAATTGAGTCATTCACAGACAGAAAGTTTACATTCAAATGCAAACTGACTTTGATTTCATTAGGATTTACATTCGTTTACTTTTTTGAGACTTTCCATTCAAATCAGAGTCTAAAAATCAAAAATTTCATCAAAGATCATGCACCAAATAAACCCAAAAAGATCTGCCAAGAAATTTCCCAAAAAGCCAAAACGATAGGTTCCACCGAGATTCGAACTCGGGTCGCAGGATTCAAAGTCCTGAGTGCTAACCGCTACACCATGGAACCACGTGAGGGGGTCGCGAAAAAGAGCGAGATAAAGCTGAACAATCGACGCGATTTCGATTTTTTTTCTTGCATTGACCGTCAGATTTTTGTCATTTTTACGATTGAGAATTTTGTTGAGACTTTTTTGAGACTGCGAATTTATTTGAGATTTGATTTTTAAAGGAAAAACTTTTGATTTTAGTAAATCTAACGAATTCAATCTAAAAGATTGATGGATTGATATAAATGAAATGAAATAAAACCAATAATCACTCAAAATTTTCTAAAAATCTGATTATTTTGTCATTTTTACATTATCTAAACATTAACTAAAGTAGAAATTTCAAAGTTTTTACTTTTTTCGTGTCATTCACAACTTTAAAAAGAGGGATATTGGATAAAATGGAAACAGAACCAAAGTTTTCAGTATATTTTTAAAAATCTAATGTTATGGTTGATAAATCTTTGTTAAAAAAGCTTTTGTGAAGCAAATAAAAATGAAAAGTTCTATTTTTTCAAGAAAAACTCTTTCCAATGTTTACTTTAACGCTTTTTAGCGGAAGAAATGGGGCCTTTTGAGGGATTTGACAAGGAAACAGAAGGTTGGCTCCCATTGAATCGTTAAAAATCTATATTTATAAATTTAAGTTAATTTATGTTTAAATTAATTCTAAATTTATAAAATCAAGTTCTCTATTAAAATATTCAAGTTCTCTAGAAAGTTCTGAGGAAAGAAAAGCATTTGATTCAAGGCAATCAAGCGAGGAAAGTGGGGAGATCCTGGCGAAGATTTCATCGAGTTCTAAAGGTGGGGAAAATTTATCACAGGCTTTCTCGATAACTTGGGATTAAGATTAGACTAAACAGCGATAAATTAATTTCTCCAACAATCATTCCTTCTAGAAAACAAATCAGATTTCTCGAAGCAACCAAGTGACGAAAGTTTCGAGGACAAGCCTTCCGATTCATCAAGTTCTGATAGTGAGAGTAAAGATTAATTTGAAAGCCATTTCAAACTCTTTCTATTTAACTATTTAAGCTATTTCTTTCTTTCTTTCTTTCTTTCTTTCTTTCTTTCTATTTAACTATTTAAAATCAATTTTCTTTTAGCTTATTTTACTCAATTCTAAAAGTCTTATTTTAATTTGTTTCAGAAAACAAAGACGATTTCTCCAGTCAGTTTAATGAAGCCAATTTGATACAAGTTCCGGTTGAATTCAAAGAAATCAGTGAAAGTTTGTTGAAAATTTACAAAAAAACGTTTTGGCACTTGTAGATTAAAAGACCCATTTTATTAGAAATCAGTATTTGGCTAGTGCCTATGTTTTTACCATTTTTTTCGAAACGTCATTTAAAAATAATGACGCCACCAAAAAAATTTCCATTTAAACTATTAGGTTGTCCAGTTATGAATGTTCTAATGTGTTTTTTTCCAGTCTCAAAGTCAAAGTTTATCCTTTTGCTTGAGAACTCCGTTGTTTTTCGCAACTATTAGGCTGTTCAGTTATGAATGCATGCCTGCTCTTGAACAACTTGAACAGCATTCCTTAGAGCTTTACAATTTTATCAAACCCAATTCTCTAAATGCTGTCCAGGACTTTTTATTTTATTATAAATTTTCGTGTTTTTGACGTCAAACCAATTTTCGATTTAATTTCTGTGTTTAGATTTAAATTCTGTGTTTAGATTTAATTTCTGTGAACGACACGAAGTTTCGTCTCCGTGCCAGTCTTTAGTATGACTTCAAATTGGGCAAAAATATCGCTGAATCTCATCGAGGCCTTTGGAAAGTATTTCGGAAAGCCAGTGTCGGCGACGGTTTCAACGATTTCGAGAAGGAAATGAATTTTTGGGAGATGAGGACCACCGACCTCCTACGATCAATAATGCAGTATTTAAACAGGCGATCGAAATTGATCCTCGACAAACTACACGTGAACTTGCAGAAGTATTTGGAATGAGCCCTCAAAAACGCGCATTTATACTGGACAACCTAATATTATTGTTTTAAAGCTTTTAAAGCTAGAAAAAGCTTGATTGTTTCTCTGCAAAATGGCTTTTGGGAAATTCTTGGGAATAGTTGTTGTTGTGGATTTTCAAAGGCGCAAAGCCGAGTACCCGAAACTGTTCCGATGCTGAAGTCGCAATTTGGACACTTTCTTCAACACAAACCTATTTTGGTGTCAAAGTAAAAAAGATAGAGCTTATTTGATTATATAAGTCTGTAAAATTTGAAAACGATTCTTCCAGCTATCTTCTTTAAAACAATAATTGAAAACTTTACACAAAGTTTTTACCGAGTTGAGGCGAGCTTTGAGCCATTTTGAGCCTTTCAAAAGCCATTTGGTAGAGAAATTAAAGAACTTTTTAATAGTTTAAGTCGCAACAAATTTAATAAAGGATTTTTTTCTATGAAAATCAAAATTTGAAAACAATTCGAAAGACTTATGCATCAATCTAATAGTGATAGCCTAATTTAGTCGTTATATCATCATTATTTTTCGATGCAACTAGCAATAGAATCGATAAGTTGCAGCTATTTTTAATAAGAATCTATGAATTTAGTTTTTTGAGCCTTTTTAGGGTCATTGAAGAGTTCTGAAGAGAAAAAATCCTCAAGTTAAGGCAGCGGAGATCATTCAAAACCAAATGACGACAACAAAAGCAATCAATCAACGCTAGAAACAATTCCCGACGATTTGCACCGAAATTTGAAGAGAATTTTGGGCAAAGGAGAGATTGATCCAGTTTCAATTCAAAGTGCTGAGGAAAAACAAAAGATTGGACGAAGCCAAGAGAGCCAAGCTGGAACTAGCGCTTCCAATGGGTTCCCGGCAAATTTGACCGAAGTTTCAAGAGAGTCTACTGGAAAATCTGCTGAAAAAGAATATAAATCCAGCACAGCTTCAAAGGAATCGACTGAAAAAGCATCCGTTGGCTCGAGAGAATCAATTGAAAAAGCTACAGAAAACCAGAAAGCTACAGAAAACCTTGACTCAAAAAAGTTCACTGAAAAAAGTGCAGAAGTCTGGAAGGATCAATTCTCGACTGAGAAATCTACTGAAATTTCTGAAGAATCAAATGAAAAACACATTAAAAAACGTTCAGATGAATTAACAGAAAAATCAGCTGCAGAAGAATCAATTGCAGGCTCTGTCGTTGCTGAAGAGGCTGAAAAAAGGAAGAAAGATGAATCGACGGAGGTAACAATTGTTTCGAATGAAACTACGGAAAAGCCGATTTCTGATAAATCAACTGAGAAATCTGTCGAAGCTACAAGAGAAGGAAACAAAGGAGAATTTATTGAGAAAACGGTTGGAGCAGAAAAAACAGAAAAAACAGCAGAATCAATCAAAAAAGAACTGAAAAAGTTGGCTGAAAAAGTTGTTGAAACTTCAACAAAAGAAACGATTCAGAAATCAACCGAAAAATTGGAATCAGCTGGGTTTTTTGAAGTGCCAAAAGCTGTTCAAGATATCCTAGAATCCCCAACTGAACCCACAAAAGGAAAACGAGGAGAAATTGTGGCTTCACTCGGAAAAAACCCTGATTTAAATCAACCATCAACTCCTCATCATTCAAAATTCAAAATTTACAATCGCTACAAAGCGCTTCCGTTGGCCGCTTTGCGGAGCCATTTTCTTGATCTATCAACGACACCTGAGGAAGTTGAGGATTCGACACTTCCTGTTGAATTCTCGAAACCCCAGGAAACAACAGATTTCGCTGAACAGGGTATAGAACAGAAAGAAATCGAGGGAACAATTGAGATAGCCAATTTTGAAGCTAGCTCAACTTTGGCTGCGAATTTTTACAAATCGTTCAATGAGGATCGAACAACCACTTCACCTCTAATAACAGTTAAAATAAAAAGTACGACATCACTAGCAAGCACAAAAACAACAACTACAACAGTTTTGACACTAGGAAACCGTTTCCGGGAAATTAAAACAAATTTGTTTAGTGAGCAGGAATCTTCTGGATCTGTGGAGGAAAAGGGATCCTCAACAGCTTCAACAAAGGCTTCAACAGCTTCAACAGCTTCAACAGCTTCAACAGCTTCAACAAGCTTCAACAGCTTCAACAGCTTCAACAGCTTCAACAGCTTCAACAGCTTCAACAGCTTCAACAGCTTCAACAGCTTCAGCAGCTTCAACAGCTTCAACAAAGATTGAAATGAGTACAAGTAGTGAACCAGACAGGATTATGACAGAAGTCGGTACAATTCGAAAAACTGAAGTGGAAAGTACAGCTGAGCCAGATGAGGTTGAAAGAACAACCTCAGCTAATGGCTCAGGCTCAGGCTTCAAAGAAACAACTCTAATAACCGCACCAACTACTGAAGCGGAAAGGACAAAAAGTGAGGCAGAGGAGGCTACAACAACTTTGAATGACGAGAAAGCTAAAGAAAAAACTTCAACACCAGCAACACGGGAAAGTACAAGTGAACCAGAAGAGGCCAGTAAAGCTGAAGGAAGAACTGTGAACGTTGGAGAAGTGAAAGGGACGACAACTATTCAAGAAATAACGGTAGAAAGTACAAAAAACTGAGCCTGAGCCTGAGCCTGAATCTCATGAAAACTTTCAGTATGAGAAAATGATTAAAAATGAGGTGACAACAACAGAAAACCCCATCAATTTGCTGATCAATGAGGAGTTTAAGGCAAAAGATCGACCATTTTCTAATAAAGCTGAGAATCCAGGCCCAGGAGTCCAGGAAAATCAGAAGATTTCAACTTATTTAGGCAATAATTCAACTGTCAAACCTGGAGAAAAGAAAATTGAACAAAAAACAGCTCTGGATGAGATCTTGAGAGTTCAGCCACCTCGACAATTCCAATCGCCAGCTGATGAAGTTGAGAAATCCAAGGAAAAGCTGAAAGAGCAATTGGAGAAATATGTCCTAGCTTTGAAAAAGGTGCAAGAGGACTCAGAATCTGATGAAAGTGAAGAACAGCTCGTTGAAGAACAGCTCGTTGAAGAACCGCTCGTTGAAGAACAGCTCGTTGAAGAACAGCTCGTTGAAGAACAGCTCGTTGAAGAACAGCTCGTTGAAGAACAGCTCGTTGAAGAACAGCTCGTTGAAGAACAGCTCGTTGAAGAACAGCTCGAAAACTCAAGAAATCCTAGATTGCGATCAAAAGGCTATCATAGACGACATATTCATGTGAAAGTGATCGATATCAGTGATGAGAGTCCGACAAAAAGGAGGTGACTTTGTTTGTCGTATACTTTGGGTTCAAAAATGAAAACGCATCTTTCTTGGTGCACTAATTTGAGACAAAAGAGTAGAAAATACTCCGGTTATTGTAACCCGGAACTCATTGTCATCAAGCATCTGTTACTATAACTAACTACAGGGTAATCAAAAAGTTCCCTACTTTACAAAAGCAGCTCCATGTTTCAACTAAAACCCGACTTACTACATAGTATTTTGAAGCTGAAATGCTGGAGAGCATTTCAACAACTAAACCAGAGCAACTAAACCAACTAAACTCTGATCAGAGCCACCTAGCTCTCCAAAGAAGCATTGTAAGAGTTGTGTTTCTATAGGATCTAGCTCTTTTTTTGATAGAAAATGAGACTTACGATTTGATTAAAATTGAGACTTGTTCTAATCGAATGAGACTTACGGTAATTGTCCTGAGAGTACCTCAGGGTGATCGAAAAGTTCCCGCACACTTTATAAAAGAAGCCCCATTTTTCAGCCAAAAGCCCAAATCAAAATTCGACTTGCTATATAGTACTTTGAATCTGAAATGCTGCAGAGCATTTCTATACCCAAACCATTCTGATCGGAGCCACCTAGCTCTCCAAAGAAGCATTGTAAGAGCTGTGTTTCTATAGGATTTTTGCACACCCGGAAATGCGTCAAAAATTGAAATACTTTTAAAAAGCGAATTTTTAATTCTCGTTAAGCATGTATTCGAGTAACGAGACGAATGGGTCGCGCAACTCCGCGCGCTTGACCTAGCCTTCAGAGTAGCGGATTCCAATGCACTTTTTTCACATTTAAAAACCAAGTTTTTAAGCTATCTAATGATATTCATCACTTTTGTTTTTCTCTTCAAAAACTGGGTCAAAAACATTATCGAGAATTAGAATTGCCTAAATTAGATAACGAAGAATTGCCTCGTTAAGTCTTGATAAGGTTTTCTGATCCATTTTTTCAAAAGAAAAAAAAAAGTGATGAATATCATTAGATAGCTTAAAATCTTGGCTTTTAAACAAAACAAAGATCATTGGAATCCGATACTCTGGAGGCTAGATCAAGCTGGAGTTGCGCGACCCGATTTTTTGATCTGTCTCGTTCAGCAAGTCTAGTTCTTATTCATTATCATCAACTTTTTGTCCCCTAGAAACCTACAAAACCGAAGCTTTTCTAAATCTCTCAAAAGGCTGTTTGAGAGCATCAATCGGCTTTTTTATTAGTAAAAACTGTAGATTAATTGATGCATTAGTTATTTCTAAAAAGTGCAATGAATAAGTGTACCAACTTTCACGTTTCCAATCTAATAGATATCCAAGACGGCCTGTAAAACGCTGTAATCTTTTGTTAGATTGCTAGACAAATTTTAGCCAATTGTTTAGCCAAGTTATTTCTAAAAAGTGCAATGAATAAGTGTACCAATTTTCAAGTTTCAAATCTAATTTCATTTTTTAAAGCGATCAAAAAGTTCCCGCACACTTGTAAATGATTCATTTTCTAAATGAAAACTAAAACAAAATTTCTAGTTTTATAGTATTTTGAAGCTGAAATTCTGATGAACATTTTTATAAGTAAATCACTCGAATTAGAAACTCTCAGCCTTTTCAAGAAGCCTTGCACTGCATTTGAGGCAGATCGCTTATCAGACTAGCACAATTTCGTATGTTTTTGTGAGATCTTGCGTTAGTTGGGATTACGATAGACAGGGTTACGATAGTTGGGATTACTGTTAGTTGGGTCACTGTAACTCGTGACGACCGCTTGGGCTACGATAACTTGGGCTAGGATAACTTGGGCTAGGATAACTTGGGCTAGGATAACTTGGGCTATGATAACTTGGGCTAGGATATTTCATATTTCGAAACATCTCGGTAATGAAGTCAGTGTTGGAAAGGAAAAAGTTCAAACTGTAAACTAAGCTCTTGAAAATGCTCTGTGCTCTTGCAATTTCATCTCATTTCATTTCCAGCGATTCCAATCGATTCCATGGAATCTGAATCTCATCGTTCTTCAGCGCCTCCTCAAGCGTTTATAAATAAAATTCATTTATTATTATAGCAAAGTAAGCAATATTATAGCATTTATTATAGCAATTCTTAGTTTCAGAATTGAATTTGATTTGAAATTTGAAATTCGATTTTATCTCAGAAAATTTTATTTGAACTTTCGAAAACTTGCAATAAAAATCCAATAAAATTGCAAAATTATGCACATAAATATGTATGTAAAATGATTGGGATTTGATTATCCATATCGTATTATCCATAACGGAGAAAAATGAAAAATGAAAAATGATATTTCTATATTTCAATATTTCCAATTTGCAAATATATATGTCGTAGCCGATTATGAAGGAGTGGGTCTAGGAGCGTCCAAGCATCAAGTATTTAGTAACATTCAACGCAGAATCATTGATAATTATGTTAAATTTTTGAAATTAGAAAGATTGGATAAAAAGAAAAACAAATTATGGGGCTTCAAAGTTTTCTCTTGAACAAACAGTTTTTTTGCTCTAATTTTTTTTCTTTTTATCAAATCTTTCTAATTTAAAAAAATTTAACATAATTATTAATGATTCTGCGTTGAATGATACTAAATACTTGATGGTTGGAAGCTCCTAGACGCTCCTAGACCCAAATACTTGATGGTTGGACGCTCCTAGACGCTCCTAGACCCAAATACTTGATGGTTGGACGCTCCTAGACGCTCCTAGACCCAAATACTTGATGGTTGGACGCTCCTAGACGCTCTTAGACCCAAATACTTGATGGTTGGACGCTCCTAGACGCTCCTAGACCTAAATACTTGATGGTTGGACGCTCCTAGACGCTCTTAGACCCAAATACTTGATGGTTGGACGCTCCTAGACGCTCCTAGACCCACTCATTCATAATCGGCTGAAATTCATAATCGGCTACGGGGGTCCCGCCGATTTTGAATGAAACGTTGTAGCGCCGGCAATTTTTGAACCTAAACTCACAAATTTGGTACCAATCGACGCAGAATTCAATTCGCTACAAGATGATATAATATTGTCCTCATACATTAAAGGGTTGCTCTACTAGAAAGATTTGCCAAAAAATTTCATTCATAATCGGCTACGACATATATAAACCGGTAAAAAAAAATTGGTGCAATTTGATATTTTTGATAACGATAACACATTGAGATTGAGCTAAACAGAGAAAGCAAAAGATGAAATCAAGAGGGAAACGATTGAAGGTTTTTGATGCGGGAATGTGGAAAAAGGAATGAACAAACCTTGTGATTCGGATTCATAAAATAGAAGCTGTAGTGGAATTTCAGGCAATTTTTGTAATGCCCAAGGTCACTTTTGTTTTTGTGGGTGTTTTTGGTGAAAGAGAACTATTTCCCATTTGAATCTGAGTCAATTCTGGGGTACTGTAAAGTCCTAGTAACTTGTTTTATAGAAATAGTCCCGCCGTGGCTTCTAGTCCCGCCACCGAACAACAGATAAATACGATTTTTAAGGCTATTACAATGCTTATCGAAATGAGGACAAGTTATTAATGACTAACAAAACAAAACTTTGTTAGAAATGTCTAGGGATTTCTTGGAAATGTTGGAAATGTTGGAAACGTTGGAAATGTATAGAGATTTCTCTAATGCATTGTAGATATAGATGGTACAAAAGAAGATCTTCAGCTGTAAATTATTCCCTAGGGGTTTTCGGGGTCGGCGAATCGATTGGAGCTATTCGTTTTATTCAGTCGACCAATTGGATTCTGGTTTAATTGGTCAAAACTGAAATTTTGATGAAACTCCCCTCACCAATATAGATTAATAATTCAAAAATTGTCCATAAATCGCTCAATATTCTTCTACTATAGCTTTTCCATTTTGTAAATCGAATCTAAACTCACAGATTTAGGAATGACACAAAAGAATCACCACAGAAAGAAAAAATTGAAACTCGCTTCATTGAAACTAATTATTGCTAGACGTTGTTCGTTCTCTTTTCCCTGGCTTTTTTGATGTTGAGGGAACGGGAGGCGGTGGGTAATCGGGCGAAAGGAATGATGGTTCTTCTCGAATTGGATTCAAATCCCTTTCATCACCACCGACAACGAACACTTTTCTTCCCGTTGACACTTTGCGACCCTCTGAAAATTGTTGAGATTTTCAACTGATGATAACAGAAATGATAACAGATATTTGATTTTTCTTGATAGAGATTCTTTGTAGTTAAATGAATGGGAAAAAAGCAATTAGTAAGCGAAAGTGTCAGGCAAAGAAAAAGAGGGATTATTTTCTTGGTAATTCTTGGTATATCTTTCATTCATGTTGGCTTGAGCTTGAGCTGTTTGGCTTGAGCTTGAGCTGTTTGGCTTGAGCTGGAGCTGTTTGGCTTGAGCTGGAGCTGCTTGGCTTGAGCTTGAGCTGTTTGGCTTGAGCTTGAGCTGTTTGGCTTGAGCTTGAGCTGTTTGGCTTGAGCTTGAGCCTTTTTTAGGCTAGAATCGAACCGTGGTCCAGGACTATTTAGAGGATCCAGGCTAACAAAAGCGCAGCCTTTTTTTGCGCCAAAATCCTTTGCACCAATTTCCCTTGCGCCGAGTATCATTTGCGCCAAATTTGCGCTTATGAAAATAACTAAGACAAAGCACTTTTCTCCAACTTCTAACCAACTTTTTTCAGCTTTCTTCTTCACAATTTCAGCTCTCACTGTTTTCAATTACAGGGTGACAAGAAATATTCCTTAGTCCTTACATTTTAACCTCAAACTCTCTAGATAATGCGCCTAGACAAAAATGGCCTATGAACCTAATAATTCAGTCACCCTTAGGAACTTAATCATGAAAATATTTGTTTCTCTAGGTCAATCCTGCTTTTTACAGAACATAAAAGTAGGCGCAAAGCTAATACCTCATGGCGCAAATGATTTGGCGAATGATTTGGCGCTTTATTATGATTTGGCGAATGATTTGACGCTTTATTATGATTTGGCGCTTTTGCTAGCACCTCCCACTGGCCAGGCGTGGATTGGTTCTACAATCGAGTGCCCGGGACCTGGATTGGTTGACCCTGCCCTTGAACCAGTTAAATCACTGTTTGAGTCTTCGGATAAACCCAGATATCTAACTATAAGTGTTTTCAAGATTTCCCGGTTACTGAATAGCGTTGACATTATGGAACGGGTAAGCTATGAGATTGCTTGTTACTAAATAAACTTTCTGCTAACGTTTTAGCAATACCATAGAAACTCGCTTTAGTTCTATATTTAACGATCTGCGATCTTAAACATCTGCGCAGCTGCGCAGCTTAATGATCTGCGCACTTGCTACACGATAAGTTCAGCTGAACTACTCGAAAGTCTATCAAGAAAATTTTTCTCTAAACCATCTCTTTCTCACACGAACATTCACGAAACACATTTTCATCTCGACCACAACACTCCAAAATTTATACTTTCAATGTTTTACTATACCTATCCGGAAGCGCAAGGGAACACTATTGTCATAATGCCTAAAAAGGATAAAAAAAAGAAATGATTGGTGATTGAACATAAAGGATTAACAAAAAAAAGTGCTTTAATAAGAATAATCGAAGTATTTTGAATCAATGCTTTTGATTTGAATTTTACTTAAAACTTTTAAAAGCTAATATGCTAAAAGCTAAAAGCTAAAGCTATATGCTAATAGCTAAAAGCTAATATGCTAATAGGTAAAAGCTAAAGCTATATGCTAGTAGCTAAAAGCTAATATGATAATAGCTAAAAGCTAATATACTAATAGCTAAAGCTACTGCTAAAAAGCTAAAGCTATAGGTTGATGCAAAGTCTTTTCATTTTTCGTACTTCCGTTAAAGTAACAAATGCACATTGAACAACGGTTTATTGCATTCGAAGGCCAATTATTTTCTGCAAATGACATTAAAACGGTTTAAAATGTCTTATGTCTAGATTTTTGGGCCTGAAGTCGGGTAGCCAAAAGGCGACGGCCGATGATGCATTTTAGACGCTTTAGCTAAGGAAACCAATCTTGATGTTAATAAATAAAGATAGAGCACAAAAGTTAGTATTTTTCAGTTTTCAGGATTGATTCAGCCAATTTCTTTATAGAGGTTTTTATAGATTTTTATGAAAAACCCGTTTTCACTCTCGAATTTGCTTGAAAGTGAACCCAAATTGACTTAAAAAGATGGGAAATTCAACAATAAACACTTTTCATTTAGAGCAAACCATAGGTTAATTGATGACTTTGTTATTTTTCAAAAGAAGTACGAAAAAAATGAAAAAGACTTTTGCATCAACCTAATATATGCTAATAGCTAAAAGCTAAAAGCTAATATGCTAATAGCTAAAAGCTAATATGCTAATAACTAAAAGCTAATATGCTAATAACTAAAAGCTAATATGCTAATAGCTAAAAGCTAAAAGCTAATAGCTAAAAGCTAAAGCTATATGCTAATAACTAAAAACTAAAAGCTAAAGCTATATACTAATAGCTAAAAGCTAAAGCTAATATGCTAATAGCTAAAAGCTAATATGCTAATAACTAAAAGCTAATATGCTAATAACTAAAAGCTAATATGCTAATAGCTAAAAGCTAAAAGCTAATAGCTAAAAGCTAAAGCTATATGCTAATAGCTAAAAATAAAAGCTAAGCTATATACTAATAGCTAAAAGCTAAAGCTAATATGCTAATAGCTAAAAGCTAATATGCTAATAGCTAAAAGCTAAAAGCTAATGGCTAAAAGCTAAAGCTAATATGCTAAAAGCTAATATACTAATAGCTAATAACTAAAAGCTAATATGCTAAGCTAAAAGCTAAAGCTATATGCTAATAGCTAAAAGCTAAAGCTATATAGCTAAAAGCTATATGCTAATAGCTAAAAGCTAATATTGATTCGGAATACTTTTTCATGGATGAACCATTCAAAAAAGCTTGGAAAATTTGAAGTGGTTAATTTCTAAAATAAAAATCACAATCGTGCTTGATTATTTGAAAGGTTCATGCATGTGTGAAAGGTTTGGATATAAATGAAACGATAATGGACCGGTCTTGTGGATGAATTACTTTACTCTTTCCAAGCTAACATACTCCTTTCTAGGTTACTTCTAGGTTACTGTATTCTTAAGCTACCGTACTCCTTCTTTGAGCTAATAAACTTTCTTTAAGCCACCGTACTTCTTTCTAGATTAACTCTTTAACTACTGTACTCCCCTCTTACAATTAGATTACCGTAATCTTTCTAAGCTACCGTGATCTTTCTAAGCTACTGTACACCATTTTTAAGTTAACTTACTCCATTTTAGGTTACCATACACCATTCCTAAGCGGCAGTTTGAGGTAGAACTTTTAGAAAACACCCAAACCGGGAAATAGAGTCTAGATTAGACTTGCTTATCGATATTATCGATACAAATCCTCATGTTTAACCGTTCAGATCTCGATTTCTAGAACAACTATCTATTTGAAAATTGTTTCATTGAAAAGACAAGAATGTCAGCTTTTAATTGCTATTTTATACATAGGTGGCTTTAATGAGTAAGCACCTCATAAACCTCATCTCATTATCGATACTTTTCGATATCGCAAGTATCGATTATTGCTAAGCATTGATAAGCTTTTTAAGGCACTCATCTATGAGAATTTGATACATGAGAGATAGCAATCAAAAGCTGACATTCTTGCTTATCCAATGACACAATTTGCGGATTGATAGCTCTTCTAGAAATCGAGATCTGAACGGTTAAACATGAGCATGCCGTTTGGATCGATAAGCAAGTCTAGTCTAGACCGATCCACTAAAATTCTTTGTGAAAGACTTTGATCTATTCCATTCCACTCTCTTCTTACTTACGTCTAGCTAAAATGCTAGTGGATCAGTCTCAACGTACTCGTTTCTCAGTCACCGTACTCCTTTTTGAGCTACAGTACTCCTTTTCGAGCTACAGTACTCCTTTTTGAGCTACAGTACTCCTTTTTGAACTACCGTACTCCTTTTCGAGCTCCCAAACTGCTTTTCGAACTACCAAACAGCTTTCGAACTGCCTTCTCCCTTCCTAAGCGACCGTAGTCCTTTCTAACAACAAGCTAAAGAGTCACAGTTCAAATTTTAAGCTGTTTTCATTGAAAAATATAGGTTACGGTAGAGTACAGCTTTTAGAAAACACTCAATTCAAGGAAATTCAAGGAATAAAGACGAGAACGGTCCATTAACACGATTTGTGAAAGAGTCTGCTCTATTCCATTCCACTCTCTTTTCACTCACGTCTAGCTGTTGGTGGGGCGGTTTGATCGATCGGCGGAATTGTTTCATCGTACATCGCAAAGCTGATCTTCGGCGGTTTTCTTTTCAATTGGATTTCATCGGGTGTCGGCAGCGAGAGACGAGGACGAGAGATCGCACCGGCTGGTTTCGCTGCAATTCCCACACCACAGTTACATTCTAGCATTCAAAAAAAGGGTGTTCCTTGTTTGAATTAGTGATATCTAACTATGTATATGGTATGTATAATACTAGGCTACATATGTAAGTAAAGATTAAGAGTATCTATCTAGCTATTTAAGATGATAAGTGGTTGGATTAATTGCAGTAGCAGGACCGTAGCAATTCCAGTACTGTACCAGAGTTAGTCCGCGAATTGTCTTATACTAAGTCATGTGCTAAGTCAGGTAGTACTATACCAAAACCATTGCCAGAACGACTGTACCGTTGAACTGTACCGTTGAACTGTACCGTTGAACTGTACCGTTGTACTGTACCGTTGTACTGTACCGTTGTACTGTACCGGTGTACTGTACCGGTGTACTGTACTGTTGTACTGTACTGTTGCACTGTACCGTTGTACTGTACTGTTGTACTGCACTGTTCTCTTGTACTATCCCAGTATTGTACAGTACATTTTGATACAGTACTAGTTCTATATCAAAATCGGATCAAAATCAAACCCTAATCTATATCCTATGCTTCAATGGGTGTTTGATAGCTGTTGTTAGATTGATATTGATTGATAGCTATAGACTGATATTGATTACAGTCTGATAGATGAGTAATAGTTGTTTGATTAAGTTCAACTTTAAACTTCAACTTCATCTTAAACTTTAAAACCCATTTCTAATGGCTCTGAGCTTAGGAAAGCATTTTTGCTAAAAGTTAGCTCACTATTTTTCTTTGAACACCGTTTTGAACACTCTCTTACACCAAGTTTCCCGTTAGAAAAGGTTAAAAATGGACAATAAGTTAGTTTAAAAACTTTAAATTTTAAAATTAAAGCCACGCCAAGCAACAAATATAAAAATGTAGCAAGCTAAGGAGTAAAACTTACGCGGTGACGTGTCCCGGGCACTCGATTGTAGTTGATCTTTGGCAGAGGGACGACCACGAAGGAAAGCACGGGGAGAGACGGCACCGCCTCGCTCCTAAAATGAGAATTTTTATTCTTTCAAGTGGTACATCGACTCAAAACAAAAAAAAATTAGCATATCAGCAAGTTGGCATCTCATACTATGGAAGAACTGCTGTCTTTTGCATAACTTTAGATCCGCTAGAGTCACAAAAACCTTTCAAGTTTTAGCTCTATAAACTGTAATCGAATTTTGATGCAAAGCAATAATAGTAATGCAATAATAGTTTCCTTTGGGTTTCTCCATTGGGCTTTTAATTGAAAGATTGAAGTTGAGTGGTAATTGGAAATTTTGTGTTCAAAGAAATCCCAATTAAACAAAAGAGTTATTGGGTTGGTGAATTGAAAACTGCTGGCTATTGTCATATGTGACAGTTTGAGCACTTTCTTCAAAAGAAACCCATTTTGGTGTCAATGGAAAAGTTGTAGAGAATCAAAAATCAAGCTTATATCCAAATTTTCAGAACGATTCAAAAACTGGTTTTCAAGAAATGCCAAATTTACGAATCTTTACAAAACTTGCAACAAAATTTGCATTTTAAGCGAAACTACTAAGTGTATCTTTTTGGAAATTTGGTTATAAGCCTAATTTTTTATTCTCTACAACTTTTCTATTGACACCAAGATGGGTTTCTTTAGAAGAAAGTGCTCAAACTGGGATCTCCAGTCTCCATCTCCAGTCCTCCATTTTTGAGTCTCACACTTGTCTCACACACAAACCAAAATCCTACTACGAAAGAGGAATCCACAAATTGCCTGTAAAATGAGCAGAAGTCGTCAATAATAATGGAGATTATTTGGAATGAGTTGAGGCTTTTATGTTGAATAAATTTTAGTTCAAAGTCCCGCAGTTTTCAATTCGCCAACCTAATACATAACAAATTTTTGGCTGAAATCAATTTGTTATACATTAATTGAATGCACTAGTAAAAGTTTTTCACTGAAAAGCGCAAATAGTGGTTCTGAAGGTGGCTCGAAAGTAAGTAAGAATTAATACCGTCGATCGTGCACTTAACTATCAACATTTCGAGAGTTACACACATAACTTTTACACATAACTTTTACACTAAACTATCAAGACTTAATAATCACATTAAAGATCAACCCTTTCACTTGCATTGCTTTACTATTTACATTGCTTTGCTATCTACATTGCTTTGCTATCTACATTGCTTTACTAGCTATTGGGTTGATGCATAAGTCTTTTCGTTCCTTTTCGTCTGCCGTTTCAAGCCAACAAATGCACGAATTAAACTACGGTTGATTTCATTAGAAAAACCAATTATTTTTCTGCAACATAACATTAAAACGGGTTTAAAAATATTTAATGCCTGGATTTTCTTGAGAGTATGAAGTCGGGTAGTCAAAAAGGGCTAACTCGATGATGCGGTTTAGACACCTTAGCTAAAGATAGCTAAAGAAAACCTATCTTCGTGTCAATAGATAAAAGATAGAGAAAAAAAACGTTTGATATTTCGCCAAAATTTCAGAGAAATTCATTCAGCCAATTTTTCCGTAGAGTTTTTTATAGATTTTTACGAAAAAGGCGTTTTTCACTCTCGAATTTGCTTCAAAGTGAACCGAAATTCATTTAAAAAGATGCAAATTGAACAAAAAAACACTTTTTTTATAGAGCAAACTATAGATTAATTCGTGAATTTGTTACTTTTTAACAGAAGTACGAAAGAAACGAAAAGACTTATGCATCAACCTATTACATTGCTTTGCTATCTACATTGCTTTACTAGCTACATTGCTTTACTATTTACATTGCTTTACTATTTACATTTACTTTCCCACCTTTAAACTCTTTCCATAATTTCTCATTTGTTTCGCCACTTTCAAGCTCGTGAACTTGTTCGCCGGATAAGTCAAATTGTTGTCAAATTCATCACCCAGAGGAGCCGATTCCTAAAAATTGACAAATAAAAATTGTTTCACATTTGAAAAAAAGTAAAAATATTAGTAAATCTCGAAATCGTCGTTTGATTTAAGAACGTAAAAAGGTGGAATTGTAATCTTTGAGTGTCATGGTTTAGCATGAGTCTAAGTTTGAGTCGTTTTTTCTTGGTTTTCGTCGCTTTCGTCGTGGTTAAAGTTGTTGTGACGATCGAAAAAGTGATACATGTCCGTTAGTTTCAGTTTTGGTTTCAGTTTTGAATGGGTAGGTTTTCTGGTCAGACCGTATTATGTCCAAATCTAGAAACACATCCTTTCTAATTTCTCTCTTAATACAAGTGCGCCGGAAGGGGTTTGTTTCTTAATTTAGTGCGCTAAAATGGGGTAATACTATAGCCCAGTTTGTCATTAGTTTAAAATATTTATTACAAAAATATTACTATATAAATGTAAATATAAAAATATTAGTAATAAAATCGTAAGTAGTAAGGCTTGTTGAGCAGAGAACTTTTTCAGAGAGGCTTTTTACATGATTGAGATGATGTGGGTGAACCCCTCGATCCCCCCTCACTAATATATCTTTCAACCCTTCCTGTTTTTTGTAAAAATAGCTGAATTCGGGTATTTTTTTTTAAACCGGTCTCAAAAAAACGCGTTCAAAGGTCTGGATTAAAAGTGATCAAAGATCAAAGTGACCAAAACCCTTTTTTTGCTTCACTTTTTCTATCTTTCCCTATCTCTACATATAAACTTTTGGGGTGTTGTCGTAAACTGTAATAGTACCCCCCCTTGGGTGCGGAGTGTTGGTGGTCGTTTTTCTTGGGTTTGTGGCAAATCCCTGATTTTAGCTATTTTTGACCAAAGACGCATTTTTGGGAGGGAACTTTGAATGTGCTTGCGACTACGCGACAGGGTGCGGTACTATTGCAGTATTTCCGGTATGTAAAAGACGGTATTGTATCTAGTACGGTATTTAGAGTCGAGCCTGATCCTCGGACCATGATAATGATGGATCTCGGGGTTCCAGGGTTTGACCTAGATCGCTAGATATCCTCAAAGTTCTCTTATGTGCAAGGCATGTTCTCCTGTTACGTCCAAGAGCAGGTTATAAACGGGTAATTGCAACTCAAAAAAAGAGCTCTGCGCTCAATAGAAGCAAAATGGTTAGCGGCTATTTGAAAGTCAAAATGAACGAAAAACGAATGTACGGTAGCGAGGGGGGAAGTTTAGAGATGCACACTGATTTGGGGCGTCATTACCCGTCGGCGCTGAATTTTACTCGCCCGCCGTTTGAACTCAGTGGTCGGATCGGAAATTTCGATCGTCGGAATGTTAGGTTGCTGAAGATTTTTTGAGAAATCATTGATGGTGAAATCTTTGAATTTTTACAGTTATCCGGTGGTCTAAAATCGTGTTTTGACACATTTTCTGAATGTTTCTCTATGTTCCAGGTCTCCTGTGACAGTATAGAACCTTGAGCCGGCAAGAGCCTTGAGCCGGCAATTCCTAGTGATTCTAAATCACTAGGAATTACCAGTCTGCCCTAAGGAAGCTACCCCTCGAGTTTCAAAGCAATCGAATGAGTGCCGCAGCTCCCATGACGGCTAATTCCCCACCTCATCGGATAACCGTAAAGATCCAAATCTTTGAAATAAAAAGAATCTTGAAATCGTTGAAATCTGATGCAGAAACTACCCCATATACACTTACTTTTGGTTTAATTGGTGTGGCTTCGGATTTCTAGAAAAAAATCTTAAATCTTTTTTGCCAACTAGGGTCATTCAGATTCAGCGTGACTGATTTTATAAGATGGAACGGGTTTCGTCTTCGAAAGACGTGCCTTTCCCTGTGCTTGCCTTGACAAGTGCTTGCCTTTCCCTAGTCAGTGTCCAGAGGTGATTTATCTGTGCCACTAATAATAACTATCTAGTATCTAGGAAATGTTCTTGAAAGCAAAACTGCAAAACAACTTGTGAAACACAGTGAAACAAGTATTGGACCAATTGGATTCTAGAAATTGTAATCCGGGCTAAGCCAGGGTTAGCCCAAACCAAAGTCAGGATCTGTTTAGGATCAGGTTAAGGTTAGGGCTTGGCTTGGGCTTGGCCAGGCGGCCAGTACAAATTCCGTCCCTGACTTTAGGTCCTTCTGATCTTAACTGGCCTAGTCTGGCCTTGAAAATTCAAGTCTAGAACATCCCTGCCTGACACTGACTATGGAAAGGCATGCACTTGGCGTGGTCTTTCGGAATGGAACCAGTTCCATCTTATAGAATCAGTCACGCTGAGTTCGAATCTGCTTTTAGTTTTTGCTCTTGATGCCTGTAACACAGGATATCTGGCTTCAAAGTTTTGGGTGCTTTTTGATCTCTATTTGAGGTAGGGTTTGAGGCAGTTGCGGGCATGGCTTAATGGTAGAGCAGCAGCCGTTCATTGAAGCCTACCAGGGTTCGATTCTAGTCTAGGTCAAATTTTTGCCTCCAAAGTTTGACGTGAGGGGGATCGAACCGGGGCAAAGAACCCCCTAGCGCTATCCCTAGGCAACGCAGCCATATTTTAAGGGATGGCGTGGAGGCCACAAATAGGCTCAGGGGGATCAAAAATGTATCCAAAACTTTTAAGCCAGGTATTTTGCGTTACAGGCCTCGCGGGCAAAAACTAAAAGCAGATTCGAACTCAGCGTGGTCCATTCTATAAGATGGGTCGTTTCAAAAAGCCAAAAAGCCATGCTTGCCTTTCCCTAGTGGCCCACAAGTTCTAGAACTAGAACTTTAGCTCTAGAACTAGAACTTTAGCTCTAGAACTAGAACTTTGGTTCTAGAACTAGAACTTTAGCCCTAGAACTAGAACTTGAGCTCTAGAGCTTTCGATTCACACTTGTTTTTAAGTTTTTTTTGGCTAACTATGATTTGTGTTGTAGGTCCATTCTGTAAACTTATCAATAATAGTTTCCTTTGGATTTCTCCATTGGGCTTTTAATTGAAAGATTGAAGATTACTTCCTTAAAACAGAAGAATTGACGAATAACTAGCTAATTTTGGGGTACAGATCACATGATTTCATTTTTGTCCGCAAAATTTCAGAATAAATAAACTTCTTTGAGCAATTTTTCAAACTCACATCATCTTCGCAAAAGTCGAGATCCAACAAATGTCGGCTGTAGAGAGAGCGACGCTGAAAATTTCAGAATAAAATACATTGAGGAAACTTGTTTTTTAAAAAGAAACTCAGGAAAAGATTTGCCACATGTACGCATGCGAAAAAAAGCAAAACACAAGCAAAAAAAAAAGCAAAACACAAGCAATAGGAGAAGTCGTGAAGGACAGATCGATTCGGGGAAATTTGATCGGATAGATCAGCTGATTGATCAGCTGATCTGCTTGACTCGAATTGGCTCGTTTATCAAAGAGTTTTCAAAATTGTAAACATTCATAAGCTGGCACATCTTTGTTTTTGGATCTTTGAATCTTTGTTTTTGAGTTTAAGCATTAAATAACTTGTATTAGACATCCGGAATCTGGTTGTTTTTTTGAAAAATTTCAACTTTTGCTACAGTAGGCAGTTTAAAGTGTGTTTCTTCATGTTTTTCTATTTTTTGAATAACTACTGTAATCTGACTGTCAATTTGCATTTAATTAGCTTAATTTTGATGAGAAATTACACGATTCTGTTAAAAATTAGGCAAATTTGATAAAAAATGACAAGCCTCAGTCTAAGATCACAAAATTTGGCTGATTTTGATCTGCTGGCTGTTCGAAGTAAGCTGGCTGTTCGAAGTAAGCCGGTTGTTCGAAGTAAGCCGGTTGCTCGATTACGGTATTTTTCTAGACTAAACCTCTTTAGAAAAGGAATTAGCCGAAAAATGGCACTTTAAATCAGCTAGTTTCAGTGCACCAGATCATAAACGTTTACAAGTTTTCAGCTTTTCGATAAAAACGAGCCTTTTATCGACACAAACCCTTTGTCGGAAATTCCTTCTTCCATCCATTCCGTAGTCGAAGTCCTGAGAAGAAAAATGATGCAAAATGCTAACAAAGAAGTCAAAAAAAGACCGGTTGCATGGGCTTTTGCTTTAAAAGCTTTTTCTTGCTTTTTTTTCTTTCTACAACCTCCCTCTGCACAACATTTATGCTATCGGTGACTATTGAAAACAAAACTTTTCACACAGCAGATCCGTTTTATGAAAAGATTTGATAGAAGGAGAGGGAATCAACATTGAAACACACTAGTTTAGCATCATTTATCTAATGTTTAATTTAGCATCATTTATCCAATTTATCTAATTAAAATATGAAGAAATCTTAATAGTTAACTCTTTAATCAGCAGCATATAGTGATTCGACTTCTCGTTACCCTATCAAACTTTTCAATAAAAACTTCCACTAGTCAATTTTTGAGTTGGTACGGGTTTGAGTCTTTTGTTTTAATCTATTTAAAGCTAATGATTCTAAAGTTAGCTTCTAAGTTAGCTTCTAAAGCTAGCTTATAAACCATCATTCATGACCTAGTAAGGCAGCTGAGCAACAAGCTAGTAAGGCAGCTGAGTTACTCGGAAACTGTTACTCGGATACTACTTATAAGTTGAGTAGTTAGTATCGAACTAGAAGCTGGAATCTAGCTCAAAAAGTAAGGCAGCTGAGCAACCAAGTTACTCGGAAAGTAAGGCACCTGAGCAACAAAAGTTACTCGGAAACTGTTACTCGGTCTCTATAAGTTGAGTAGTTAGTATCGAACTAGAAGCTGGAATCTAGCTCAAAAACGTATCCTATTTCTAAATTCTTAGTGTTTATTATATATTTTAGTGATTTGAATTAAAATAGTAATACAGTAGTTAACCAGTTAACCAGTTATTGTGACTTTTGAAACGTCAGAATGTTATATTACCCTGAGTACCTTAAAGCCCTTGAAATCCTACCGTTTCCTACAATAATTCAAGGTTTCTAATACTCATCTTCAATTTTTTTAAATTGAATACTCTAATATGACATACTGTGCCTATAAACTAATAGTAAGAGATCGAAAATGAGACTTTAAAGAATGTCACAATACCCCAGTACGCTTACCTTGACTACAACAAAACTGCACTCAAGTACTCAGCTCAAAATGAATTCTCTTTAAGTTCTTCAATTTAAACATCAGACTCTTATCAACTAGTAGACAAAAAACTGAAATTTAACACCAAACAGTTATCATTAAAATTCAAAAAAACAAGACTTCGACATTAATGACAATGAGCGAGTCTCATTCGAGTTCTCTCATTCAATGCTTGTTCAAATTTGATCTTTTGCCTTGTGAGGATACAAATTGTGTGTTTTTGGCTTTTATGCCTTGTGCCTGTCGTAACTGTAGTCAAACTAGGCTACCGAAAAAAGCAAAAGAAAAAAGTCGAACGGCGGACTCGAACTAGAGGGACTCGAACTAGAGGGACTCGAACTAGAGGGACTCGAACTAGAGGGACTCGAACTAGAGGGACTCGAACTAGAGGGACTCGAAGTAGAGGGACTCGAAGTAGAGGGACTCGAAGTAGAGGGACTCGAAGTAGAGGGACTCGAAAGAGGATCAAAGAGGCCGAAGTAGAGGGACAGAGAGGGACTCGAGTAGAGGGACGAGTAGAGGGCTCGAAGGAGGGCTGGAGAGGGATGGAGAGGGGGAGAGGGAGAGAGGACCGAGGGGGGGGGCGTGGGGAGGGGGTGGAGGGACTCGAAGGGGGACCGGTAGGGGACTCGGTAGAGGGACTGAGTAGGGGCTGAAGTAGAGGGACTCGAAGTAGAGGGACTCGAAGTAGAGGGACTCGAAGTAGAGGGACTCGAAGTAGAGGGACTCGAAGTAGAGGGACTCGAAGTAGAGGGACTCGAAGTAGAGGGACTCGAACTCTTTGCCTCGGATTCTAGCTCACTTACATTCGGCCACCACTGCTCTTTAAAGTCTCTGAGAAACTGTTTATAAACTCAGACTGTGCTTTTTCAAATTTCATCTAAAACTTTGCACGCTTATAACTCTTGACATAGTGCTCAATAGCAGAAAAGCAGATTCGGAATCGGCGTTGATTTCTGCATATGAACTCGTGACACGTGCCACGTTTGGCCATTTTGTCACGTTTGTCATGAATGGTCATTTGGCTACCAAACCCAGTTGACATTCTTTCGTTATTATTAAAGACTTTGGACTAAACAGTCGACTAAGCCGCCAATTTAACAACAATAACATTTAAGCAAGAGAACAATGTACCCAAAATAAAAAAAAACAAGTTTAAAACACCTTAACCCAAAAGAGACATTTACTAACTGACGACACGATTGAAACGCCCAAAAACCCGTGACAAATGGAAGAATTGTTTTTGGGGTGTACTTTGTGTTCAAGGAGAGAAACATATCGTTTCTGGTGGACTCCCTTTTCTAAAGTTTAGTTTAGTTCATCAGAAAGTGTGTGTGTGTGTGTGTTTGTTCATCAGAAAGTGTGTGTTTCACTTTGACAAACCCAAAATACACCTTAAAGAACAAGAAAGATAGCACCCAGAAGTGTTTTTGAAGTTTTGAAAATTAGTAAGAAAATTTTGAAACACCTGGTTACTCACATGGTGATGATGAAGGGATCGATGGGGATGTGGGGACAACGACAAGGCATAAAATGAGCATTTTGTTAGCTACAGTAATCCTAGGTTGTTAGTAAATGCTTTTCGACGGATCTGCTGAATGAATGCGAGCATCTCTAATATGCAAAATCGGCGACAACAGGCAAATGATAGCTGACTCGTCTGTGTTCTTTGCGGTTGTCAATTGTTGTCAATTGTCAATCAATTGTCAATTGTTCGATAAAAGTCTCTAATATTATTAACCTTTTACATACTTTAACAAAACGAGTACACTTCAAGCTTTCGCATGATACCAAACCACAGGAGGATCTTTAGGACCACAGGAGGATCTCTAGGACCACAGGAGGATCTCTAGGACCACAGGATGATCTCTAGGACCACAGGAGGATCTCTAGGATCACAGGAGGATCTCTAGGACCACAGGAGGATCTCTAGGACCACAGGAGGATCTCTAGGACCACAGGAGGATCTCTAGGACCACAGGAGGATCTCTAGGATCACAGGAGGATCTCTAGGAGGACCAAGAGGCAATACGCTCAAGTCAGAGCTTGTTCTCTCCATTTTGTTACTGTTTAAGTGACGAAATGGTTTAATAAAGAAATTGTATTAAAATACAAGAAATCTGGGCAGAAATTTATCCCCAAAAATTTGAGCATAGTTCGCAGTTTGAGTAATTTGAGCATTTGCAGAAAACGCGAAAGAAAACTCAGTGCTAACCACTCCTTCGCCTCTACTAGGGATTGTTGTTTATTTACCACCGAGTTTCAAAGTGGAACTTAGCCTATTTAGTAGCAAATTTTTCGTTGATTCCGAATATCTAAGTCGTTTTTGTTTAATGGGTTCAAAATTTCGATTTAAATCCTTTTAAAGTTTGTGCGTAAAAAAAAGTTTTTGCGTTTTGCGCTATTTATTTGACCGCGCGAGCATCAAGCGGTATTGCGTTTTTCGAAGATCTGTCATCCAGTGGTAAGTGACCAAATGGTAAGTGACCAAGGGGTAAGTGACCAAGTGGTAAGTGACCAAGTGGTAAGTGCGCTAGGCTCTCAACTTTTTCGAGCTCAACCTGGTTCAAGCCAGGACTTGGGCAAAGCTTTTGATCTTTGCAAAAGTGTGCATGAATCTCGCCGGTTATTTACATCTCGCCATTTATTTACACAAGGATTCTTCTTTTGCAATTTTGATGTTACAAAAAGAAGTTGTTCAGCTGTGAATTTGTACCCGAGCGTTTTTAAGGTCGGCCAATTGATTAGAGCTATTCATTTCATTGAATCGATTAGAGCTATTCATTTCATTGAATCGATTAGAGCTATTCATTTCATTGAATCGATTAGAGCTATTCATTTCATTGAATCTACTCGGGTTTTACTGCAGTCAAACGAAAAAGGCATTGATTTTTCTAAATTGATTGATCCAATCAAGCTCCACCTAGTATCAATAGAAAGTTTGAAGTGTCGTTAAAACTATGAAAAAAGGATTAGAGCCGAAATGCGTTGGCTTAGAAAGCTTAGAAAAGCTTAGAAAACAAGCTTTTGAAACGACCTTTATGCACGAGAACTTGAATTTCTCAAAGATCTTACTGTAAAGATCTCTGTCAACACTAACCCATTCAAAGAACACACACAAATCAAAGCTGTCGTACTGTTCGCTTTCCGAATTCCTTTCCAAACCTTATCTCTGAGTGATCCTCGTCCTTGCTTCTGGGCAGCTGTCTCAAAAGCTTCACGAACAAAACCGGAAAGACTTTCATTTCTTGGGATTGATCGTTGTGATGGCGGGGGAACGGGCAACAAATTCGATCGTTCCGTTGGCTCCGGTGAGAAAGCATCATGAATCCTGAATTCATCTTCTTAGATTAGCTTTTCAATGAAGATCTCAACGACATCTATGCGCTTGTTAATTTTGGAAAGTGTTTTTTGAGGCAGGTAGAGGGTTTGATGAAATACAAAAAAGATTGTGCTACAATCTACAATTTGTGGAGAAGATGGTGAGAGATAATGCCTTTGTTCCTAACAAGGAAAAGGCATCGACTTATGCTACGCGAGCCTAAGTTCATCTTATCAAGCCAGCCATTGGGATTCCGAATCAATTTTTGGTTTTTGCTACGCAAACGCGAGATATCTGGCATAGAAAATCAATCAATCTGACTGAGGAAGATCTCTGTTTCGACCAGGAAACCCTTTGAAGTTAGATTGAATTTCAGGAGCGATCTGATTCCCTAAGGGCATCCCGAAATTCCTTTCAAATCCTACTTATCTACTTATCTATTATCATAAACCATTTTCGAGATATAAGCTGTCAAAGTTTCGGCAAGCAAGCAGCAAGCAAGCCAACAGCAAGCTAGCCTACTTAAGGTGTTGCTTCGAGCCAATTACTATCCCTCGGTAGCCTAGTAGATAGTGTGTTAGCCAATTAGTATCCCGGATTCTTTGTCTCTGATTCGGATCTACTGTCCGAGCAGTCCACAGTCGAGTTTTTGTTTTTTAGAACCTGTTTACTATTGAATAATTGACCCAACAGTCCCTTTTTGCGTATCTTTTGGTGTTTGCACCTCGGAATCAGATCGCTCCCGAAATAACTTCAATGGGTTTCCTAGTGAGATTTATTCAATGAGGTACGGTATCTTTTGCTTCAATTGATCCTTGCCTTGAACCTTCACTAGTTTACTTTGCAGGTTTACTAGTTCCTGCAAGACATTAAGCTTTCCAGAGACTCTAACTATATAGAAGTGTGATATAATCGTGAGACTTTCACCACAAAGTGACTGACTTTTTTGTTTCTTTTCGGAAGATCGTGGATTAAGAATAATCAAAAGATTTCCTAGAAGCAAAAAAAAACAGCACAACAGACTCATTTGCTCACAAGGTGAAGCCAAAAAAAGTGATGACTCATTCCAAAAGACTCCACCATTTCATCTCCGCTTTTGCCTACCCTCTACCCGCAGCTTTCCTCGCCAGAATCGGCGTTGTGCGTAGCAACTTAGGCTCGTTGAGCATCTTCACAAAAAATTGCCCAATAGCGTACGTGTCGTGAACGCGAGGTAGGAGAATGGCCTCGGATTTCGACTTGGGAAGACCGGGATGGTGGGCCATGTCGGCGAGTGAGGAGACGGTGGGAAGGCCGGCGAATGAGCCACCCTGACCCCTAAAATTCGAGGTTTACGTTGAGTATTGTGATTGGGTTGAGCCAGAATCGGCGTTGCGCTTAGCAACTTAGGCTTGTTGAGAATCTTTTTGCAGTAGCTTGAGCAATAGCCAAAGCCAAGCCAAAGCCAAGCCTAAGCCTCAGCCTAAGCCTAAGCTTGAGCCTAAGCCTAAGCCTGAGCCTAAGCCTAAGCCTGAGCCTGAGCCTAAGCCTAGCTTGAGCAATAGCACTCTTTTTGGCACTCACTTGATATTACACGCGTATTCATCAATTTCCATTCGTTGATGCTGAACGACAATGTCAGCCTCGAGTTGTCGATAGTTGGCGATAAGCAATGGCTTGATGTAAACGCGATCTTTTTCCAAGAATTTTCGAAAGAACTAAAAAATGTAATTGAAACTAACTAAACTTGTGTTTAATGTTTAATTTATTCGGGCTTTTCCAGCTTTGCCGGATTCGGGCTGCTGTTAGCCTGACCAGATCAAGTCAAGGCTTAGATTTTCGATGAAGATGATGAGATTCCGAATGATATGCCAAGTTTAATCAATGATTTAATTCTAATCTTTAGTCATTCTAGTCATTTTTTGTTATATCTTCATTGATTAACTCATTAATTCCGAATAATGATTGAAAAATTGTTTTGTATCGGGTTGGTGAATCGAAAACTGCTGGACTTTGAACTAAAGTTTTGTTCAACATAAAAGCATCAATTCATTCCAAATAATCTCCATTATTATTGACGAATTCTGCCCATTTTACAGGCAATTTGTGGATTCCTCTTTCGTAGTAGGATTTTGGTTTGTGTGTGAGACAAGTGTGAGACTCAAAAATGGAGGACTGGAGATGGAGACTGGAGATCCCAGTTTGAGCACTTTCTTCAAAAGAAACCCACTTTGGTGTCAATGGAAAAGTTGTAGAGAATCAAAAATTAGGCTTATAGCCAAATTTCCAGAAAGATACACTTAGTAGTTTCGCTTAAAATGCAAGTTTTGTGAAAATTCGTAAATTCCGCATTTCTTGAAAACCATTTTTGTTGAATCACTTTGAAAATTTGGATATAAGCTTGATTTTTGATTCTCTACAACTTTTCCATTGACACCAAAATGGGTTTCTTTGGAAGAAAGTGCTCAAGCTGTCACATATGACAATAGCCGGCGGTTTTCAATTCACCAACCCAATAAAAAAGAAAAGAATCGAAAAGTTTCCAATCTTGTCAATGGGATTTCAATCAGAAATTCAAACTCACATAGTTTTGCCCGTGATGCGCTATCAGATCCTCGATAAAAAACATCAATTGCTTGTTCGTTTCACCAAAGAAATAGTCGATCACCCGTTTCTTTTCCGATTCTTTTCCATAATTTCGACTTCGTTTCACTTGAAGCATCTCGACGAGGAATTTGATCGTTGAACCCTAAAAACTGACAAATATTTAAATCAAATAATGTCTAGATCAATGTTTGAATCAATGTCTAGATCAATGTCTAGATCAATGTCTAAACCAATCTCTAGATCAATTTTTAAATCAAATTTTATCACAATCGATGTCCCTTTAGTTACCTGAATGATAGTGGTGAAGACAATGACGATGAGTGTCGTTGTAACAAACATTCCTTTAGCTGGGAATGCCTTCTCATCAATCGCCATCACAAGACCATAGCAAACAGCTCCTAAATTCGAGTTGAACTGTCGAATATGGTGAGGAAGGTTCAGCTTTTAGATAATAGTTTATAACTTTATATTCTTATATCCTTTTTGGTTTAGATTCAGTTGTTTTTGCTTAGATTTAGCCGATCGCCATGCGAAAATTCCGACGCGAACCTAATTCCACCTTCGTTTTCTCAGCCGCTTCTTGGCTGATTGCTCTGAAATTCTGTCTACAGCCTGAAGATGTCGACTTCTATTTGTAGACAAAATTTCAGAGCAATCGGTCAAGAAACGGCTGAGAAAACGAAGGTGGAATTAGGTTCGGATCGGAATTTTCCCATGGCGATCGACTAAGTTTTATATTGAATCTCAGATCGAGATTTTCCAATGTTTAATACGTACCAGGCTAGGCCTATAAGCAGGGTAGGTCAGGCAAGAGTATCTGACTTTTGATCTGGATCCTGTCGACTATCATTAGGTTATCCATTCTTTTTGTTAGCCAATCACATACCTCGAATTCCACCATAGGCCATCACGAATTGGTCCTCAAAACAAATTCTTTCTTGTTCAGATCGGAAACGATTCGCAATGAAACACAATAGATAAACACCTGAAAAGTTGATCGAGTTTTAGAGGATAAAGTAAAGTAAGGAATGGCAAAGAAAGATTTGAAGAGATTGAAGGTGAGGAGATTGAAGGTGAGGAGATTGAAGGTGAGGAGATTGAAGGTGAGGAAATTGAAGGTGAGGAGATTGAAGGTGAGGAGATTGAAGGTGAGGAGATTGAAGGTGAGGAAATTGAAGGTGAGGAGATTGAAGGTGAGGAAATTGAAGGTGAGGAAATTGAAGGTGAGGAAATTGAAGGTGAGGAGATTGAAGGTGAGGAGATTGAAGGTGAGGAGATTGAAGGTGAGGAAATTGAAGGTGAGGAGATTGAACTCCCGATCTTTTTGCTTTCCGGACAGATGCTCTAACCACTGAGCTTTCCGATATCTTCTCCAGAGAAGAAAGAGGAAATATAAAGAGAAAAGAAAGGAAGCGCAGGAAAGAAGAAAGAGCAGGAAATACCCCGAAAAGATATTCAAAAACTCACCAAGAAATCTGAAGACCAAGCACCCAACAAGAGTGAGTGAAATGAATGGAATATCGAAGTGATGATTGGATGAGATTAGAGAAACACCCAAGAAGACGAAGACCAACGATTCGGAGCTGAAATTGAGATAAATTGGGATCTTTGTCTTATGCAATCACTAGGAAGATCCCATTTTGAGTAAATACTCGACGGTGAAAATCATTGGATCAGTGACATTGCCTGGCATGTAGTTCTTCATCAAAATACCAATGACAACGATTCTGAAATGTTTACGATAAAGTTTGATCGTGAAGCTTTAAACATTTAGGCTTTTAGGTTGGTCAAACTCACGATAAAATAGCCGACAAGTGCATGCTTTCCGTCATCAAATAGCAAACAATTGGGCAAGCGATGAGATTGATCGGTTGAGCGATTTGGAAAGTGACAAGAAGTCTAAAGTGACAAGAATTGCAGTGATAACAATTGCAGCGATAACAGATTTCAAATTTGGACTTTTTCTGGAATTTTATGATTGAAAAGCGCAGCAAACCTCATAAAAACGACCGTTATATATCCGCCGATGATTCCGCAACCGATTCCACCGAAAGACACCCGGAAAAAGTGCCACACCGCGTTTGCACACTCGTACGGACCAATGTGGATCTCGTTGGCCTGTGCCGCATCGCTGCCACCAGGGACAAGTGTGGAAATGGTGTTGAAGAGAACCTCAAAATCTAGCACTTTATCTAGTACTAAAATTGCTAACTGAAAAGCTATTTTTAACACAGTGACGACCGTTTTTTTTGGTAGAGCCATTAGCGAGAAACAGCCTTGACATGACATCATGTCACGTGGACTCAGACCTTCATTCACTCGTGACGTGGCGGTCGCCAATGTGTTAAAGATCTTGCTCTCGTTTGTTTTAGTGTTTTAAAGAGCAGTGTCTGTCAGTCTATTTGTCTTAGACTTGTAACGAAAACGTCTGTCGATCATTTTTTGCCGTTGGCAATTTAAGGTTTTTCGTGTTTTTCTCAGCACCCACCCTTCGATTTTCACTTTTTTGACTATCATTCGATGCAGAATGAAATTGCGCGTCGAATGGTATTAAAATCAAGTCGAAATCTAATATCCATGAAAAGTTATTGGCTAAAACCCTAAACTCCACCAATTTCCACCTTTTGCCTCATAAGTTTGCATGGATATTACACTTCGAGTTGATTTTAATACCATTCGATGCGCAATTTCATTCTGCATCGAATGATAATCAAAAAGGTCAAAATCGAAGGGTTGGTGCTGAGAAAAACCTTAAATTGTCAACGGCTTGTCAAACCAATTTGAAAACTAATACGGGTCGGTGAAATTACAGAAAATTGTTGGTTTTTCCCTATCTATAACTCCGTCCGTTTATTTCCACGAGCTTTTATATGTTAAAATTTGGTTTCTACGCTCTAAAATTACCCAGAAATAGAAATCCAATAACTTTTGAAATAGAAAATGGTTAATATTAGCTTTTTAGAGCTTTTTGAAACGCGAAAGAAGTTCTAATGGATCGGGTGCGCAAAAAAAGTCGCATTTGTTCCACTCTCGTCTTTCGGGCGTCAAAATTGAGTGGCAATATTGAGTCAAAATTGAGTGACGGGGTCGAACCCGGGCTGTGTGGGCCGTAGACAAGCTGTGTGAGCCGTAGACAAGCTGTGTGAGCCGTAGACAAGCTGTGTGGGCCGTGGACAAGCTGTGTGGGCCGTGGACAAGCTGTGTGGGCCGTAGACAAGTGCGCTCTCGGCTGCGCCACGGCGACAGAAACGAGAAACTCTAGCCAGAAAAACCTCCCGTTAGGCCGGTTTTTCCGATTAACAATAAGTTTCTTAATGCCATTTTAAGCTGTCTATTAGCGTTGCAAACTCACAATGGTAACCGCGTCGTTCAGCAAGCTTTCCCCGAAGACACAAATGTAGAGAAGCTCATTGACGTGAATGTCCTAAAATTTATAGGAAATACGTCTCGCTAGACAAGCTCAAAAGAGGAGAGAATCAAATAGTTAATCAAATATATCAAATCAAAACCTCAAAGACACACAAGACGGCCACCGGGTCTACCGCGCAGATTAACACCGAGAATAATGTGATTTCAACGAATGAGAGATCGATCGTTTTAAACCAGCCACGAGATAGATAAAGAAGACCGGCTGGAAGTGAATTTTTAAGTTTAAGAAGGGCAGCAGGCTTTACGAAGGCTTAAGCATCATTTAAACTTGTAATTCTTGTAATTCTGAAAATCCTACCAATCATCGCTGTGTTCAAAATCGTCCCAACAACAGCAAATAACGTAATTGTTCCAATATTGTGAAAGAAATCCTTGTTTTTCAGAAAATACCCAGCCTCGAGGACGATTGGCGGCAACATGTAATAGAAAAACCATTGTGGTCGGAGATAGATCTAAATGTGGACCTTTGAAATTAGATGGTGAAAAGATTTGAAAATCTATTGTCATTTTTTCCGATTTTCTCGATTTTCTTTAATTAGTGGGATTAATTTTAATGTTAAAATGCAATTAAAATGCAAATCTTTTATCACTTACATCATTTGAAAAGACGAGTGTTAAAACAAAGCCGGCTAGTGATCCGAAAACGAGCAGAAGGACAGAGTGGGGTATCCGTTTTGATTTGATTAAGGCTGAAAAATGTTGTGATTAGCAAAATCGAAACATATTTAGCCATGTGACGAGTGTTTTCACAAAAGTTGGCCAAAAAATTTAGCCAATACCAGATGAAATAAGGCTAAAACATTTTCACTGACAATTTTTGACAAGGAACCAAATTTAGAGAAAGAAGGAACCAAATTTAGAGAGATAAGGAACCAAATTTAGAGAAAGAAGGAACCAAATTTGCTGAGAGAAAGAACCAACTTTAGGTAGATAAGGAACCAAATTTAGAGAGACATTATCATCATTAAATTATCGGATATTTGGATACCCGCCCCGCCCCTTTTGCAATTGGCAATTCAACTTTGAGCTCAAATATCTTGGTGTTGGGCTATCTAATTTTAATATTCTTGGTATCATTGGATGCGCCAAGTCTTTCTCTGTCGATTGGTACGAAAACTATTTAAATTGGACGGCCCAACACCAAGATATTTGAGCTCAAAGTTGAATTGCCAATGGGAAAGAGGGCGGGGCGCGTATAAAAGGTCTTTCTGGCCTCGCCCCTTTTGCCAATTCAACTTTGAGCTCAAATATCTAGAAGTAGAAAGGCGATCTAATTTTAATATTCTTGGTCTCATTGGATGCGCCAAGTCTTTCTCTGTCGATTGGTACGAAAACTATTTAAATTTGACAACCCAACGTCAAGAAATTTGGTGTCAAACTTAAATTGCCAATGGCAAAGGGGGCGGGGCTCGTATCAAACGTCTTTCTGGCTCCGCCCCTTTTGCCAAGCGAACTTTAAGCTCAAATATCTTGGTGTTGGGCTGTCCAATTTAAATAGTCTTGGTACTAATCGACAGAGAAAGACTTGGCGTATCTAATGATACCAAGAATATTCAAATTAGATAGCCCAACGAAGAAATTTGAACTTAAAGTTGGATTGCCAATGGCGAAGGAAGCGGAGCGTATCAAATGGCCGGTTAATACCAATTCTGGCGGGGCTTTTTGATCTTAAGGTTGAGTACTAAATCTTTCACCCAAATTCATTTTCTAATTGAATAAGTCTCAAGCTACCAAATGAAATACGGTTTTCACTAGATAGATCAATCATTTCTCTTGCAAATGACTTTTGAAAGTTTTTGAAAGGCTTTGAAACAGCTTAACGATGGTACAGCTTAACAATGGTAGAGCTTAACGATGGTAGAGCTTAACGATGGTAGAGCTTAAAAATCACCTACCAGCTTTCAGGAAACCGATCATCAAGATGACGGCAAGAATCGAGAGTGGCGCGCCGGTCTCATCAAAGTGAAAGAACGATCCTTGATGCGCTGGATCGTGAATCGGTTCAAAATCCTTTGGTTGCGCGACAGTATCATTTTCCAATTCACTAGATCCAATCAATGGAAGAGCCGTGTATTGTGCTGATGAGGATGGGTCCTCCGCTCGAACTGAGCCCACCACCGACGGCATTGCATCGGTTTCTGAAAGTTGATTACAGTTATGAAATGCAAATGAAATGCAATGAAAAATAGAAGAAGTTGAACTTTTTTCCAAGTAAACATCAACCAGTAAAACAAAATTTCGGCTAGAAATTTTTAGCTTTTCATTGGAGTTTGTAGAAGGAAGAGGAAAAAGTACACGGGAAAGATGGGAAAAAAAATGAGTTGGCGGAATGGGGTAATCCTTCGTTTGCTCATGTTATTAGATGCTTTCTGCTAAAAGAAATGACATCGATGCTTTTGAAAAAAGAAGAAGAAGAGGAAATTCAAAAGAATTCAAAAGGTTTCTTTGAGAAGTTTTTGAATTAAGTGCATTTAAGGCTTTGTTTAAGCTTTGTTTAAGCTGAAAGAAAATTTAACATTTGTAAGCCGCAATGTAAGCCGCATTTGTAAGCGGCAATCGATAAAGAAAACTTCTTTGTCTATGACTTCGCTTTGCAATGTTGTATCGTCTTGGAAATTAAAGCTGATGCTCTTTGCATCAGCTTGAGCAATTGAGCTCTTGAAGTTCCAGTAATCAAAAGACAATTGCTAATAGCTTTTTCAGATAAAAACTTGGTTTTAGGCCAGTTTCAACATTATTGCGTTCGACGAAAAGTTCGTGCGGTTTTTTTGGGAGACGGTCTGACGGTCTTAAATTCAATCAATTCGGACGTGTAATAGCTCGTTCGAAAGCTAATTATCAAGCGAATTCGCTGAAAGTAACAGCTTATTGATTGATTGCGTTTTAAAGCTTTTACAGAGGCTTTAGTGGAGATGGTCAGACCCTAACAAGTGCAAAAATAGTGTTTCGTCAATTTTTCGCTTAAAAACCCAGGCTAAAAACATGTTTTTCGTGATCAGGGGCAAAAATTACCCCAAAAAAAATCAACCTTACGTTTCTGAAAGGAAAAAATTGAAAAATTTTGCTGCTGCGGGCGGGGTTCGAACCAACGACCCTTGGATTGATAGATATCAATAGATATCAATGGATATGCAAAGTTTGGCTCGGGGAAATCACACTTCGGGGATCAATGGGCTATTTTTCTTTCCTTCGGGCTTGGAAGGATAGTGTAGAGGCAAGTTTTCAAGCTCGTAATTGCTTTCCCGAGCCTTTGCTTTCCCGAGCCCTCGTTCGGATCCGGTTGCAGGGATTTTTTCCTTTCTTTTGCCAAAATATAACGAACTGTAAGAACTAATGTACTAAAAAGATCTTCTAAACATAAGCTACATAAACATAAATCAATTGTCTAGCGGCAATGAACCGGCAATGAACGGCAATGAACGGCAATGAACGGCAATGAACGGCAATGAACGGCAATGAACGCAATGCAATGAACGGCAATGAACTCCCCGAAAGTTTGGCGAAATTCAATTGGAGAAATGCTCACAGAAATCGAGAAAAAAAGTTAGAGGGGTACTCCGGCTTAAAAGTTTTCTTTCAAGAATCGCGGTCATTTATTTATTATTCAATGCGTTTTAGTCTTCTCTACAACCGTCTTAAATAGAAGACTTGAATAGAAGACTTGAATAGAAGACGGGGTCTAAGGGGTGATTGGAAATGTAGATGAAAATGTAGATGACCGATCTTCTATTCGAGTAAATACGGTATATGAAAAACAAGGTTTCCAATCGAGAAATGAAGAAAAACGCATGTTTTGCTTTCCATTCCACCCTAAAACATGGATATTTGGGCGAAAAGTACATAAAGTTTCCGTTCAATTGCATTTTAGCACTTGCGTTCTTTTCTTTTGCATGTATTTCCTCAAATTTAACAGTAATCTTCAATATCTTTTGTTTTTTACAAAGAGAAAGACATTCTAAAAGAATCATTAAGAAAAAAGGTGAAAATCAGACTTAAGAAGACGTCAAAAATAGGTACCTAACTTAAGATTGACTATCGACACTGACTATCGACACTGACTATCGACACTGACTATCGACACTGACTATCGACACTGACTATCGACACTGACTATCGGCACTGACTTTCGACACTGACTTTCGGCACTGACTTTCGGCACTGACTTTCGGCACTGACTTTCGGCACTGACTTTCGGCACTGACTTTCGGCACTGACTTTCGGCACTGACTTTCGGCACTGACTTTCGGCACTGACTTTCGGCACTGACTTTCGGCACTGACTTTCGGCACTGACTTTCGGCACTGACTTTCGGCACTGACTTTCGGCACTGACTTTCGGCACTGACTTTCGGCACTGACTTTCGGCACTGACTTTCGGCACTGACTTTCGGCACTGACTTTCGGCACTGACTTTCGGCACTGACTTTCGGCACTGACTTTCGGCACTGACTTCCTTAGACCGGAGTACCCTATTAAAGATAGTTCAAAACTCAAACGTCATTTAAAGATAGTTCAAAACTCGAGCCTCTACTACCAAATTAAAGTCCTCAAAAAGCAAATCAAAAGAAAATCCTCAAAAAACGAATCAAAATAAAAACTTTTATCAAGAGGTGAGGAAGGGGCTCAAAAAAAGAGGTGAGAATGGGTTTCTCTTTTCCCGGTTGCCATGCAGCCTCATTTTCCCTCTCTTTTCTGCACTCTTTGAGCCCATTCTAGGCAGCAATTTTTCCTTGATATTCACTCAAGTCAAAAAAAAAGAAAGAAAAATACGAAATCAAGAGATTAGGGTTAAGAATAGAAAATGAGAATTGAAGATTGAAGATAAAGGAATCAATGGGACAGAAATTAGTCCCATTGTTTTCTTGTTGCTCATTTTTTTTGAATTTCTCTCAGATTTCTCAGAATAGAAGATTGTTGAGCGAAGAAATATTGAAAGGAGAAAATCTACGGTATGGCAAATGGCATGGAAATGGCAAATGGAAAATTTATATTCAAAATTTGATCAAGATCACTCGTTGAATTTGATCGTTCGATCGATCGATCAAGATCACTCGTTGAATTTGATCGTTCGTTCGATCGATCACTCGTTTTGAATCCATTTTCAATTCAAATTAGACAAAAATAAGATTGATTTGTTTAAAAAAAACAATAAAAAAAGATTGTTATTCACTTATTTTGATTGAAATTTTGGGCCAATTTTAAAAAATAATACATTTCAATTTTTATCGAATATCCGGGAGAAATAATCCCCAGATTATCCACGATAAAATCGCCTCAAAACAGTTAAAGGTTTCTTCCGGAAGAAGCCTTTAACTGTTTTGATCTTCGAAATTTCTTGAAAACAGAAAAGATGCCATTTATTTTTGACTAGACCGGAGATTTTGCGTGTTTGGTCTCAAGAGTCCGTTTTTTTTCGGTTTCCGAGTTTTTCTGAGTGATGTTTGCTTCAATGGAGTTTTCGGCTTTTTGATGCTTTGGACTTTGAAAAAGAGAAAGAGAAGAGAAATCTGAATTGGGCAAAAAAAATTGAAGGGCTATACTCACAATCAGAATTTGGAAAAGAAAATAGAGCAATAAGAAAATTAATACTAGATTGAGGAAAAAGTCCTCCCTCAGCTGCGAAAAATTCAATCTTTATGCGGATTTTAATAACAATAGCAACAATTATTTCTCAAAGTATAGTTTATTGTAAACTTTATCATAAAGTTTATTGCAAAGTTTGGCAAAGTTTCTTATAAAGTTTGTTGTAAAGTTGCTGTAAAGTTTGTTGTAAAGTTTGTCGCAAAATTTGTCGCAAGATTTCATTGATATTAAACTATTCTACTTCTTCATCCCAATCCAATCCCGTACTACCCTTTTCTTTACTGGTAATTCTTTTGCGAGCTGATTACTAGTTTGGGAAAAAGTCCTCCCTCAGCTGCGAAAAATTCAATCTTTATGCGGACTTTAATAACAATAGCAACAATGAAAGTATACCCATCATTATCATTAACAACAAAGTATACGCATCATTATCTACGACTTTCTGCCATCGACCTGCAAGCTTTCGATTCTAATCGAAGTACCATTCCGCTGGTTTCGAATTAAAGAACTCTTGGCAAGCTTCTTCAACTTCCTCAAATGTTCCCGTTTCCAGAATCAAAACTCGAAGCTCTTTTTCGTGCAAACTCATCCGGAATACAAAGATCAACATTCGTACAACACTATAAGCGTGAAAAACGTGAACCAAATCTGTAGAGAAAAGAAACCAAATCTGTAGAGAAAAGGAATCAAATCTCTACCGAAAAGGAACCATAACCTTTAGAAAAAAGGAATGAAATCTGTAGAGAAAAGGAACCAAATCTGTACGGGAAAGGAACCAAATCTGTAGAGAAAAGGAACCAAATCTGTACCGGAAAGGAACCAAATCTGTAGGGAAATGGAACCAAATCTGTACCGGAAAGGAACCATAACCTTTAGAAAAAAGGAACCAAATCTGTAGAGAAAAGGAACCAAATCTGTACGGGACAGGAACCAAATCTGTAGAGAAAAGGAACCAAATCTGTACCGAAAAGGAACCGAAAAGAATCTTTAGAAAAAAGGAATGAAATCTGCATAAAAATGCATAAAAATTGAATTTTTCGCAGCTGATTCAGAACTTTCTCCTCAACCTAATATCATATGAAAAGATAGATTTGTTACAGTTTTGTTTTGAAATTAGATTTAGAAGAAAATCTCAAAGAAATTGCACCCTCAATTTGCTGGTGCTAGATTACATGTTCCTTTCTTTTTCAGCAGTTTCTTTTCCAAATTCTTGTCAATATTTTTGTTTACCAGAGATTTCAAGGGATTTTTGAAGCAGAAAAAAAGCTCGGGAATTAAAAAAAGCTTTTAGAAAAGGATAATTTAGATCTAGAAAGAAATAAAAAAGCAAAAAATCTAGAAAGATCTACCTAGAAAGCTTAAGAATAAAGACAGTTTTGAAACAGAAAAAGAAGCTTGAGAAGCTTGAGAAGCTACATCAGATATTTAAGATTTTGTGAAACATTGTGCCTTGCAATCTTGCAAGATACAATAAATAAATAATCTTGCAACCAAACAATTTCAAATTCCAAAATTCCTATTTTATTTTCTTCTAAATTTCAATGA